TGGGGTTGGCGAATTCTTTGGGCACTGCAGCTCCATCCCCCAGCTCCACGGGCTCCAGCTCCGTCCTCACCCCCTCGATCTGCACCTCGTGCTCTCCCGAAATTCCATCCTCCTCCGACCTCGAGCTCTCCCCCGTGCGGCGGAACTTCACCACCCTGAAAGCACAAAAAAACCGGGATGGATCCTTCCAGGAGGATTTTCCAGCTGGGGAGGTTTGAAACCCCTTTTCCATCCAGGTTTCTCCTCATTCCCGGTCTCCATTCTCCACTGGGAACTCTGGGATTTGGGTTTGGTTTGAGGTGTTCCACCCTGGGATGGGATCTCATCCTTGGGGTTGGACACAGAGGTTGTTACTGTGCCATGCACAAAGTTACAAAACCACTGAGGTCATAAAACTATGATGGAATGATGCATATTTAATGAGATGCATGTTTGGTGGGCCTGGATTTAATTGGAATCAGGCATTGCTGTGTCATTGAATTTCAGGGGTTTTGTCCAGGCAGGAAGAGCCCAAATTCCATTTCCTGAGTTGTTTTTGTGATTAGAAACTCCAGAAATGCACCAGAATTTGAAATATTATTTAGTGAAATATAATTACTGAGCTCATTCATTGGAAGAGCTGAATGGATGGATTTTTTTTTTTCCATCAGGATGCTAATTCTGTGACTCTGTTTGCATCTTAAACAGAATGATTTAATATCATGTAATTAATGAAACATCTGTATTTTAAGACCAGAATTTGCTAAACTGACACAGCTTTGATGTTTTGGTCAGAGGGATTTGCTCCCTTCCCACAGAGAAGGTTCTTTTCCAATTTATGAAGTTTTCAGTGGCCAAAGATTTGGGAACAGATCCTCAAAGCTCCTTCACTTTATCTGCAACACAGCAGAACTTTTTCCCTTTGGAAAGTGAAAATCCCTTGGATTTAAGTGAAATAGTTTTGGAAATAAATTAAATTATCACAGAATCACAGGGAGGGACCTTAAAGATCATCCCAGATTTGGAGGTGATGGATCCTACAAAATCTGAGGATCACAAACCCAGATTGCCACATTCCTCAGCACAGAAAATAAAAACATAGGTGTATAATTTAAGGATAGATGAAACAAACTGATACAAACAAAGGAAAAAACTCCACAGGGATAATTTCTGTTCCATATTTGCCAGATTTTTCACATCTGGGACATCTCAAGGAGCTGCTGCATTTATTTGCAAAATCTCACAGCAGCAAAACACCTGCACTGGAAGGTACTTTGGAATGTATCCCCATGTTTTGGTCTTAAAAATGGGGGGGGAAAAAGCTTGATAAAACAACAACTTCTGATAAAATAACCTCAGATCCCTGACAAGCTCAATCCTAACCAAGGACTGGGAAAGAGCTGGAGTTCCTGTCCAACTTAGCAGGAATGTTTTGGGACAGGGTGCTCTGTCATTGACACGAGCTCATGAATATTTAACACCAGCTTGAAACATTCCTTCGCTGCCAGACAGAGCCCATGATTTATAAATAGGAAATATGTTGCAAAACACCTGAGAATGGAGCATGAGGAAAAAGCAGGTTGGTTTTAAAGGAAGCATTTGGAATTGAGGGGAAAGGGAGGGAGGAATTCCTGGGGTTAAAGGCACCAAAGATTTTATCACGTTTGGGGCTGGGTTTTTGCCTTTTTTAAATTTTTTTTTTTTGCTTTTTTTCTGCACAGATCCAGCACCCACATCCCCAAAATCAGCATTTTCCTTGTGCAGCAGCAGCGTTTGGCTTTCCAGAAACGCTGCCAACGCCGATGGGGATTTTGGGGTCCCCCCAACCCCGCCTTGGCAGGGCAGGTTCTGCTCTGCGATCCCTCCCTGGCGAGGAGGAGGAGGAGGAGGATGGCGAGGAAGCACAACGTTATTTACAGCCAAGCCCCCCTGCAAAGGCGATCCCAGCGTTTCCTCTCCCAAAATCCCCACGGTTTTATCCCAAGCCCTGCTGGTTTTTTTTTACAGCCATCAAAAAAAACCAAAAAAAACCCAAAACAAACAAACAAACAAAAAAAAACCCAACAACCAAAAAAAAAAAAAAAAAAAAAAACCCAAAAAAACCCCCCCAAATAAACCAAAAACCCAAAGGAGATGAGTGAATTTATGTAACGAACAGCTCCTGCATCCCTCGGGATGCTCCACCCGGGGCAGCTCCAGCGGGGAAAAGGCCCTGCCCGCCGGGCTGTCAGCGGCTTCCCGGTAGATTTGGCCGCTGCCCGGCGGGAATCCCGCGGCCGGAGGGGCAGGAGCCCCCCCGGAGCTACTCACGGCAGCTGCTTCAGCTGGAACAAATCCTCCTCCATGGCCGGGCGGCGGCTGCGCTCATCGCTCCCGCACGGCGGGCTCGGCGGCGGGATGGAGCGGCTGGGGAGGCTGGACAGCTCCGCAGGAACCGCCGCGCCTAGGCTCGGCTTAGCTGGGCTCGGCCCGGCGCGGCACGGATCGGGTGGTTTGGCACGGCTCGGCTCAGCTCGGCATGGTTTGGCTCGGCACGGCTCGGCTCAAGTGGGCTTGGTTTAGCTCAGCGTGGCTCGGTTTGGCACGGTTCAGCTCAGCTGGGCTCGGTTTGGCACCTCTCAGCTCGGCTCGGTTTAGCTCAGCGTGGCTCGGATCGGTTCACCCGGAGCGGCCACGGCTGGGCCGGGCTTAGCTCAGCTCAGCGGGGTTTGGCACGGCCGGGCTCGGCTCAGCACAGCTCGGCTCGGCCCGCACGGTTTGGCTGAGCTCGGCTCAGCCGCGGTTCCCCCATTGCCCCGAGCGGGGCTGGACGGCTCCGCCGGGCGAACCCCCGGGCCCGGGCCGTGTCCCCGGGGGTCACACCCGCGGCACCCGGGATCCCCGGGCACCGGACCCGGCCCCGCCCCGGGCAGCGCTGCCAGGGCTGGACAACCTTTCCGAGCGGGTTTGCCCTCAATATCCCGAGCAGAGCGCCACGGCAGCGGCGGGGCTGTCCCGCTGCTCTCCCGGAGCTCCGAGCCGCGGCTCCGGGACACCCCGGGCGGGCCGTGAGGCTCGGGCAGCGCGGGGATCCGGCCCGTCACACCGGGACCGGCCTGTGACCCGCGAGGCTCTCCAGCCCAGCCGGTATTACACCGGGAACAGGCCTGTCAGCCTCGCTCCGGGCCGCCCACACCGCTCCGGGCCCGCCCCCGGTGCCGCCCCCGGGCCCGCCCGCCGCCATGCCCGGTCCCCGCCATAACCGGCCCCCCCCGCACCACTTCCGGCACCGCCGCCCGGCCGGTCCGCGCGCTCCTGCCGTCCCCCCGGCTCCGCCCGGCCGCGCGCCCGCGTTCCGGCGCGGCCATGCTGGCGGACGGGCCGGTGCGGCGGCTGCTGCGGGCGGGGGAGGGGGCCAGGTCCGAGGGGAGGGGGTGGCTGTCACCGGAGGGGGTCGGGATGGAGCGGGAAGAGGCTCGGAATAAGCCGGGAGGAGGCCGGGTGTGAGGGGAGGGCTGGCGGGGGGGGCTCGGCTTGGTCGGGGCGAGCCCTCGGCCGAGCGCTTCCTTTCTTCCCTCGCCTTCTTCATTTCCCTTTTCCCTTTCTTTTCTCCCTTCCCTTTCTTTCTTCCCTTCTCCCCTGCCCTTTTCCTGGTCCATTTCCCCTCTCCCATATCCCCGTTCCCTTAGCGCTCCGGTTCCCGGGGCAGGCCGGGGCGCTCAGGGCCCGCCGGCTTCCCGCAGCTCCTCACCCTGTTCCCTCTTTCCCCGCACCTCCTGACCCTATTCCATTTTCCCCCCCCAGCTCCTGACCCTATTCCTGCAGCTTCTCACCCTATTCCCTCTTTCCCGCAGCTCCTGATCCTATTCCCTCTTTTTCCCCAGCTCCTGACCTTATTCCTGTCTTCCCCAGCTCCTGACCCTATTCCCGTTTTTCCCTCAGCTCCTGACCCTATTCCTGTAGCTCCTCACCCTGTTCCCTCTTTCCCCGCACCTCCTGATCCTATTCCCTATTTTCCCCAGCTCCTGACTTTATTCCCTATTTTCCCCAGCTCCTGACCCTATTCCTGCAGCTCCTCACCCTGTTCCCTCTTTCCCCGCACCTCCTGATCCTATTCCCTATTTTCCCCAGCTCCTGACTTTATTCCCTATTTTCCCCAGCTCCTGACCCTATTCCCGTTTTCCCCGCAGCTCCTGACCCTATCCCTCACCTCGTGACCCTATTCCCTCTTTCCCCGCACCTCCTGACCCTTTTCCCTTTTTTCCCGCAGCTCCTCACCCTATTCCCTCTTTCCCGTAGCTCCTGACCCTTTTCCCCCAGCTCCTGAGCCTATTCCCATTTTTTGTTCCAGTTGGTTTTTGGTGTTTCACAAGAGAAGATTCACTCAAGGAAGTGAAATTTCCTTTCAGGAAAGGAAATGAAATATTGGAGCAGAAAATAAAGACTTATAAACACTCTGGAAAGGAGATGTGATCAAATGAAATGCACTGGAAAAAAAAAATTGGGAAATTTAGTGACTACAAGAAAATGGTCTGGGAGGAGATGAGGTGCAGTGAAAAGGACCAAAACATGCCAAAACTAACCTCAGAGATGTTACAAAATCAGGGGAAAAAATCAAGGAGGAAAACAGAACATTGAGGGGAAGATATGAGTGACATGGCATGGATACTGAAAAAAAAAAATTAAAAATCTGTGCCTAAGTGAAAGCCATCCAAAGGCATGGGATGCCATGAAGTGCAGGGACATGGACCACAGCTTGCCAAAACTGATCCTCACTGAAGTGCTGGAAACAGAAAAGAAGGACTTACAGACACTCTGGAAATGAGATATGATCAAATGAAATGCGCTTGAAAAAAAAAATTGGGATGGATACTGAAAAAAAATCAGTGAAATTGAAATTTTTGAAAGACCGAAATTCAACTGAAACACCACAACCTGAAAACTGAACTAACTGCAATCTGTTTTTTGGGTTTTTTTTTTCTGTAATTACACAGCATTCCTGCTGAAACCCAGGATGCTTGCCCTGGGTTTGGTGGTGTAAACTCCTGCAATTCTCTTGGCAGGGCTCGTGCCAGGCCTGCTGAACCTGGGCAACACGTGTTTCATGAACTCCCTGCTGCAGGGCTTGTCCTCGTGCCCCTCGTTCATCAGGTGGCTGGAGGAGTTCACAGCCCAGTACAGCACGGAGCAGGAGCAGCCCCAGCAGCTCTCAGTGACTCTGCTGCAGCTCCTCAGAGGTACTGGCACTTCTAAACCAAGGGAAAAATGCTGAAGGAGAGGTGTTGTCGTTTTTAGACTCTTTTTCCCAAAGAAATAAACCCCCACGAGCTCCTATTCCCTGTTTTATTTGCCTCTCTAATTTTAAGATTAATTGAAATGCCTTGGGCAAAGCTCAGCCACCTTTCACAGGAGGGTTGGATTCCATAGGATTCAAGAAATTTAGAATTCTATTAAAAATTATTAGCAAATAATTTAAGCTTTTTTTTTTCCCCAAGCTTACTATTGTCCTAAAAACCTGGGACTATTCAACCTCACTTTGCAAGGTTTTGAGTATTAAAAATTAAAATAGTATTATAAAAGATAAAATATAAAATTTTATATAAATATAAAATATCATTATATAATAATATGCCTTTATATAATAAATTTATATAAGAAATAAATTATATAAAGAGATAAATTAATAAATAAATTATTGTATTACTATAGAAATACATTTATATGTATTAATTATATATAATTATTATTTTTATTATATTAATACTTGTTTATATAATAGATATTATATAACATACAAAATATTACTATAAAATATAAACTAAAATATTAAATATAAAATATTATATATAGAATATTATAATAAAATAAATAACATAAATATAATAAATTTATATAAGAAATAAATTATACTAATAGATAAATTAATAAGTACATAAACTATCTCAATAAATTAATATAATATATATTATATGAGATACAAAATATTATAAAATATAAACTATAAAATATTATATAAGTATAGAATATCCTTATAAAAGAAATAATATAATTTTATATATATTTATGTAGTAAATAAATTATATAAATAAATAAACTAATAAATAAATAACTATATAAATAAATTTATATAATAAATATTATATAAAATATAAAATATTTGAGATTTTAAGCTCAAGGTGATTCATTTTTGGCCTAAATTCATCTCTGACACCCTCAAGTGACGCCCTGGCTTCCCTCACAGGTTGTTTTCAAAGCAAAGTTCTCCCTTGGGACATTCCTGTGCAAGTGCTGTGGGGCTGGTGGTGCTTTAACCCCATAAACCCCTGGTTTTTACCCATTTTTGGCTGCTCCTGACGCTGCTGCGTTCCCTTTTCCAGCTCTGTCCTGCCAGGAGGTGCCCGAGGACGACGTGCTGGATGCCAGCTGCCTGCTGGAGGTGCTGAGGATGAACAGGTGGCAGATCTCCTCCTTTGAGGAGCAGGTGAGCGCAGCGAGCCCTGGATCCTGCTCACAGACTGATGGGAACTCCCCACCTTGGGAATGGGGCTGGGGATTCCTCAGGGAACCCCAAACCTTGTCCTTGCCAACAGGGCCAGGAATGTTAAAGCAGAGCAGGTCCCTGATTTCCCTCTGGGATATGGATCTGTTCCCATCTTTTCAGTAATAATAATTATTTGCAATTCTTGTCAGGATTTCCAATGCACTCCTGATTTCCAAGAATAGATTTCGATTATACTTCCTTCAAAATCCATAAAAACAGGGATCTGGGAATTCATCTGGGGGTATTTTTTCCTCCCAAGTTTTAGTTTTTTATGAGTTTATATGGCCCAGAATGTGTTTAGTACCTTGTGCTGTTAGGATCTTTTGGGCACAGCAAAATGTATTCAATATTAACAAATTAATTGTATTCAATATTAACAAATATAGTAATAAGAGTAATAATAAGAATAATCATCATCATCAATATAAAATCATTATAATATAATAATATATATCTGTATAAAAGTTATATATGATAGTAATTATATATAATTTATAGAATATAATATGTATATTTAATATATAATTGAATAAATATATTTAATTTAGTTATTTAGAAACTTAATTATTATTTATATTTAGCATGTACTTACATAATTTATATTTATATATGATACAATATACATATATATTTATCCATATTTATATATGTATATAATAGATGTTTATATAATATATATTATATATAATTGATGTATATATATGCATTTAGATACATTTTATATGTGCTTAAATATAAAATATAAAACATAAAATATAGATATAAAATAGAAATACACCTATAAAATTATACATATATAAATACAAATATCAATCCAGGCTCTGAGCTGTCATTTTTCCTGCATTTCCTGTGGAATTCCAGCCCTCCTGGGGTGTTTTTTTGATGTCTCTTGCTTCTGACTCCATTTCCAGGATGCCCACGAGCTGTTCCATGTCCTGACCTCTTCCCTGGAGGACGAGCGGGATCGGCAGCCCCGTGTCACCCATCTGTTTGATGTGCATTCCCTGGAGGTGATCCCCCTTATTTCCACAGCAGAAATTCCTGCAATCTGCCCAGATTCCCAAGTAGAAATTGTATATTTAGGATATTTTCATTCGCTTCCCAAAGCTGTTCTTTAGTCCTTTGATAGGGACCCATCAATAAGTCAAATTTAAAGAATTCTCACGTTTTCCAAAGAAAATATCTTTGAATTTCCAGTGTTCCTGCTTTCCTTTTCCTAAATCCGTGGGATGTAGGGATTTAATTTAGTCCCTCCAAGCATTTACTCTGATCTATAGTTCCCACCTGAAAAAGGGTTGAAAACTGCAAAAAGGATATTTCTGGAAGAGTTTTATGGAGGTAAAATTGATCCTATCCTCCAGCTTGCTGATAAACTTGTTGCAGATGGGAAATACCTGGTTTTGCCTAAAATATAGACAAAAAACAAAAAAAGACAAAATATCCTATTTTAGTGTTCTGAGGCAGAGAGTTCTGCAGATTAATTATTCCTTTTACAAGCAATTGTCAATTATAAATTTGTTTTGTACCAGGTCTTTTTTGTTCTTACAAATATAAAGAGCCACATCTTTTCTAATGCCAGAAAAGCCAATTAGGGATGAAATAGGAAAACATTTAATACTTCATGTATTAAATTTCTAAGTGTTTTCTATGTTGCTGAGGTAGGGTTAATGAAATGTTTTTATCTCCCTCTGTAGCAACCAGAAATAATCCAAAAGCAAATAAGCTGCAGAACAAGAGGTAGGATTTTATCCATTCTGGATATTCTGAATATTCATAGGGTAGCTTTGTTTATTAAAGGGATAATATTAATTGATCTTTGTACTGAACTGAAACAGAAATCAAAAATATAAATAAACCTCAATTTATTATTAATCACTGAGACAAAAATGTGCTTTGGAGGCATTAATTTTGTTACTGCAGGGCAAAAGTGTGGGATTGGAGTGGTGAAAGTGGATGGGTGGAAAATCCAAGGACAATTTTTGTGTTGCAGGATCTCTTCCCCCTGTGTCCAACCACTGGAAATCTCAGCACCCTTTCCATGGAAGGCTGACCAGCAACATGGTCTGCAAACACTGTGAGCACCAGGTATGGAAAGAGATAATATTTTATATTGTTATTAATATCTGTGCCATGTGAGGAGGGATTGCCAACACTCAGAGTGCTTCCTGGAAGCATCATCCCTTGGTCATGAACAAGGATTTATCCCTAAATAAACTAAAAAAAACAATCCATGTGATGCACCTTGTGGGGGTAACAGCTGCCTCATCGACCAGAATAATGGATGTTTTATTCTATTAATAAATTAACAATTAATTAATAATATTACCTGAAAATCCATTCACATGGGTGAGTTTAGCACTCACTGCTCACCCAGCACATTTTGCAATGGCACTTAAAGTCCACAATTATTCCAAATAAGGAGATGAAGATAACCTGAACAATGGAAAAAAATACAGAAAATAAACCTAATTTATAGCCCAAACCAAGGAAACATTTGTATTTTATTTCCCCAAACCTTGCAAACAAATTGGAGTGAGGAGGAGGAGGCCAAGCAGAACATTCCTGATGTTCCCTGGCCCAGCTGGGAAACTGAGGGGGTTGGATCCTGTTCCAGCAGGGAATTATGGACAGCACAGGGCACAGGCTCACCTTGGGAGAGCTGGGTTGGAATTTTTGGGGACTGATGATGCCTTGAAGGCTACCTAGAACAGAGGCCACACAGTGTTAAAGAATAAAGTAGATATTTATTAAAAAGGCCTTCACAGGGTACACCTTGGGCAGCGCAAGAGCCTGGCCAGGGCTACACCCAAGATGGGCACGAGTTTTCACACTCTGTTATAAGTTTTGGTCCATTTCCATATTGGGGTTAATTGTCCAATTACAGCTTCAGGTTATGCAGTCCCATCCTCCCAGTTTGCTCTCCTCAATTTACACTTTTTGGGCCTTTTTGTTGTTTACACTTTTTAAAAGCTGCAGCGGTGTCCTTGGTTCTGGGGCTGGAGAAGAATTGTTTTGTCTGAGTGAACTGTGAGGAGAACTTGCTGACACTTTATGTGAAGTTCAGAGTTACATCCTAATGCAGTGCAGAATGTGGAAAATATGAGAGCTAAAACTGAAGGCATCACTGACATAAATGCTGGCATGTTCTGGAATGTTCTCTTGCAGAGCCCTGTGAGGTTCGACACCTTCGACAGCCTCTCCCTGAGCATTCCAGCAGCTGTGTGGGTACGTATCCCTGTGCTCCTGATCCTCCCTGCCCTTCCCAGGGCTGCAGAAGACATTCAGGGCTACTTCAGGACTTGATTTTCCTGCTCTGTTATAATCCTGTGCTGCTGCAGGACCTTCTCCCTTAAGGGGTGGTGCGAGGTTCTGATGAGCCCAACAAGCCGAACTTGGTGATGCCACCAGAGTTTTCTGTTTCTCCTGGTGGAGGATTTGTCTTTTCTGTGGAATTTCAAGAGCCCAGATCATACTCCAAGGGCTGCTTCCCATCCTGGGAAGGTGACCTTCAGCTGGCAGCTCACACCTTACCCCACCCAGGCTTTTCCAACTGGGAATTGTTTCCATTTCTTTTCATTTCTGGCTCTGAAAAACTTCAGAATGACAAAACATTATGGATTTTTGGGGCAACATCTGCAGGATATTTTTTGGACTGTAAGAATTTGTTACTTCATGTCTGGTAGTGATTTCTTTCCACAACTGATGGAAATTGTGATTCCTGTTTGCAGAGTGCCCTCCTGGCCAGGCAGGATTGGGATTTGGACACATCTTCTGCTCTTTTTGTTTTGTTTTATCCAATCCTTGGCAGGGCAGGACATGAGGAAGGGCAGGAAGGAGGCCTAAATTCCATTAAAAGCTGTATTTCTCCTGTGGAGTGGGTCAGAGAGCATGAAGTGACCCCTGAAGTGCTGGAATGGGAGATAAATAGGAGTAGGAAAAGAGTCTGTGGTTTGAAACCCCACTGAAGAGCTCACACAGGGAATCACTGCTGCTGTTATCAAAAGGCTGCAAACTTTTCTATGTTGAATCCAGGCTGAAGGAGAATCCCCACAGTTCCATAATCACCCAAAGCCATTTAGTCAGTAAACCTGCAGTTCTGTAGTTCTTCTGTGGAAGGATTTATTAAAAATCCTTTCCCAAAATCCAGTGGAATGCACCCTAAAATTCCTGCAAATAATTCTGGCTTTTCTTGGCACTCAGGGTCGTCCCATGACACTGGACCATTGCCTCCATCATTTCATCTCCTCAGAGTCTGTCAAGGATGTTGTGTGTGACAACTGCACCAAAGTAGGTCCCTTTGATTCCTGTCACCTTAATTCCTGTCACCTCCCTGCTCAGTTTTGAGCCTGCTGACACAATCCTGGCTTTACTTTACACCTCCTTTTTCTTCAGGACTTGGGGAAAGCCTCTGGGGTTTCAGAAATTTAACAAGGAGTTCTTACCTCATGAAGAATTAGAGGTTTATTACTTACTACTGCTGTTACAAAAATCTACAAATATTTTATTCTGTAGTTGCCAGGTATCACCGGGGATATTTTTTTTTTGCTCTGGTATTGTTTAAAAATCAACAGAAGAGGCAAATGAGTGCAGTGCTGAGTGAATGGAGTTCTCTAAATGCTCATTTCTGCTTGATTTTGGTTTAGAATTTTGACCCTTTAGGAATTCTGAAGAGCATTCCTAGGTGTGATTAATGGACTGAGCATAAACCAGACAATAAATTCCTCCTGTCTGCAGGTGCCTTCATTTTTTTCCCCTTTTCATTCCAGATCCAGGCAGCAGGAATTCTGAATGGACAGAGCATAGAAAACCAGAGAACAACATTTGTTAAGCAATTAAAGTTAGGAAAGGTGAGGCAAAAAAACCCTTCCAAATCTCCTAAATCCTGTCACAGTAACTTCCCTCTTGGAGCTGGTTGTGTCCATTTCTTGCTGTCAGACCACAAATGTTTTATTTTTCAAAGTAAACTCACCTGGCAAATATCTGTGGGCATTGAGGCTTCAACTCAGCAAAACATCAAACACTAAATATTAACAGGATGTGAATATTCTCCTGTTATTTAGCAAAACACATTTAAATGTGAGTTTGGCTCAGTGTCATTTCTTAGATTTTACATTAATTCTTCAGTGAGCAAATTGATTTATATTTACAGGGTTTGTAGCATCTTTAGCAATTCCTCATTTCAGAGAAATTTAAATATTCTGAATGCAGCTGGTGAGTAAACATCAGGTGTGATTTCTAAGAGAAAACTCTTTTTTTTTTTTTGCTCTGTGATCAATCCTGTCATGCAGAGGCCAGCAGGGCACTAGTGGGTAATTAGGAACCTCAGGTGCCAATAATAATAATAATTATTATAATAATTCTGTACTTCTTGCTACAACAATGGTTTTGAATTTCAGCTCTTTATAACACTTAATGTTTTTTGTTTTCCCCTGTGCAAAACCATTAATTTTTGGGGATTAGGAGATATCAGGAATCTCACAAGAATTATTGTCACACTTTAGGGACACTGTTGCCACTAAGCTTACACAGAGATAATGGAAATGCATTTCCTTATTCCCTGGACTTACCAGCTGTTTCTTTCCATGAAAAATGTGGATTTTCCTTTCCTGAAGCTGCCCCAGTGTTTGTGCATCCACCTGCAAAGGCTGAGCTGGTCAAACCAAGGCACTCCCCTGAAGAGACACGAACACGTGCAGTTCAACGAGTTCCTGGTCATGGACATCTACAAATATCGGGTTCCTGGTCCCAAATCCTGCCAGGAGCAGCTCAGCCAGAAAAACTCTGAGGAGACAACCCCTGGAATAAAGGATGGGAGAGCAGGGAAACCTTCAGGTACCTCTTTTGCCAATAAAATGGTTCAGCTCTTTCTGCATGTCAGGGATCAAAAGTTCTCTGCAGGATCAAGCCATGAGCAGCATTTTGATGTGAGGCTCTGCAAAGAGGACAGAAATCCCTTTGCCATTCCCAAATTTACAGTTCAGTTTGGATAATTTAATTTTGATCGTATTAAATATATATACTTAAAAAAAAATGTCCAAAGAGATGTGGAACCTGGGATATCCCAGAGTTTTTCTTGTTAGGGATCTCTTCCAAGGCTTCAGGACAAGCAGAGAGGGAATGCTGGGAATGGTGGATTCTTCAAAAACAGTTGGAAAATGCAGCTATAGGAGGTCTGTCCTTAGGCACCTCAATATTCCTTTAGCTGGGATTTTGGATACATGGGTATTTCCATATTTTTAATGTAAAATGAATTTGAATAAAATATCCATTTCTGATATGAAAATCAATAAAATACCTTCATATCCCATGATGAGGAGCAGGGATGTTGATCTTAGCAACAGCATTCAAGTTAAATCCCTGAATTTCTCCTTCCTCTGGCAGATGCAGAACAACCAGCTGGTACCAAACCTCTCTTCATGAATGGTGCCTCCTCTTCCTCCTCCTCCTCTCCCTCATTTTTAATGTCCCCAGGAACTTTCCCACTTGCTGCATTCCCTGAGTGCAGGTAAGTTAGAGATTTGTACCCTCTCTCTTCATTTCTTTCCTTCAAATTGTCTCCCTTTCTTCTGTCCTTGTCCTGAGGCTGCCCAGTCACAGAATGTGATCTTTGTCCCAGCTCCTGTGATTTTAGTCCTGGGAAAGGGAGTAGGGCAAGTTACAAGCAAAACTCAAAATTTTCTTTGGTTCATGGTGCTTCTGAACAGCCATAACCTCATTGCTGGTGGTTTCCCCTAGCTCTTATTTTCCTTCATTTTCAAGTGGTTGTAAGAAATCCATAGTTTTTTTTCTCAGATGTTTTTTATTTCAGTTGCACCTGCCATGATTCCACTTGATAAATCACCCCTGGGGCTTCTGCTGATAATCCTTTTCCATAGAATTCCAGAATGGTTTAGGTTAATAGGGAACTTAGGGACCATTCAGTGCAGCCCTCTTCCCATGGGCAGGGACACCTTCCACTATCCCAGGTCACTCCAAACCCCATCCCGCCTGTCCTTGAGTACTTCCAGGGATGGAGCAGCAGGTTTGAATCCCATAATCCCACAATGGTTTGGGTTGAAAGGAGACTTGGAGATGCCATGGGCAGGGACACCTTCCACTATCCCAGTTGCTCCAAACCCCATCCAGCCTGGCCTTAGACACTTCCAGGGATGGAGCAACAGGAAAAAGCAGTTTGGATCACAGAATGGTTTGGGTTGGAAGGGAACTTGGAGATCATCCCATCCCACCACTTACCATGGGCGGCAGGGACACCTCCCACCAGACCAGGCACGGAGCAGCCACACAGGGCGCCACGTCCTTGCTCCAGGCAGGAATTGTGGCTGCTCTGCTGTGTGTGTGTGTGTGGCCAGGCTGACCCGTGTCCCCACAGGGCCCCGCTGTACCTGTACCGCCTGATGGCCGTGGTGGTGCACCACGGGGACATGCACTCGGGACACTTCGTCACCTTCCGGCGCGCGCCGGGCGCCCGCGGCAGCCAGTGGCTCTGGATCTCGGACGAGTCCGTGCGCAGGGCCAGCCTGCACGAGGTGCTGGCTGCCAGCGCCTACCTGCTGTTCTACGAGCGCGTGCACGGCCGGGCCCAGCCCCAGAGCCCGGCCCAGAGCTGAGCCAGCGGTGCTGGGATGGTCCCAGCCCTTGGGGTCATCCCAGCCCCTGGAACCATCCCAGCCCTTGGGGTCATCCCAGCCCTCGGCATCGTCCCAGCCCTCGGGGTTATCCTCATCCCAGCCCCTGGGACCATCCCAGCCCTCGGGGTCATCCCAGCCCCTGGGATTGTCCCAGCCCTCGGGATCGTCCCAGCCCTTGAGGTTATCCTCATCCCAGCCCCTGGGATTGTCCCAGCCCCTGGGATTGTCCCAGCCCTCGGGATCGTCCCAGCCCTTGGGGTTATCCTCATCCCAGCCCTTGAGACCGTCCCAGCCCTCGGGATCGTCCCAGCCCTTGGGGTCATCCCAGCCCCTGGAACCGTCCCAGCCCTTGGTGTCATCCTCATCCCAGCCCTTGGGACTGTCCCAGCCCTCGGGATGGTCTCAGCCCCTGGGATGGTCCCAGCCCCTGGAACAGTCCCAGCCCTTGGGGTGATCCTCATCCCAGCCCTTGGGACTGTCCCAGCCCCTTGGGGTGGTTCCAGCCCTCGGGATGGCCCCAGCCCTTGGGATGGTTCCCTCCCCTGGAATGGTTCCCTCTCCCGGGATGGTCCCAGCCCGTGAGATGATCCCAGCCCTTGGGATGGTCTCAGCCCCTGGGATGGTTCCCTCCACTGGAATGGTTCCCTCTCCCGGGATGGTCCCAGCCCCTGGGATGGTTCCAGCCCTCAGGATGGTCCGCGGTGCTGGGATGGTCCCAGCCCTTGGGGTCATCCCAGCCCCTGGAACCATCCCAGCCCTTGGGGTCATCCCAGCCCTCGGCATCGTCCCAGCCCTCGGGGTTATCCTCATCCCAGCCCTCGGGGTCATCCCAGCCCTCGGGGTCATCCCAGCCCTCAGGGTCATCCCAGCCCCTGGGATTGTCCCAGCCCTCGGGATCGTCCCAGCCCTTGAGGTTATCCTCATCCCAGCCCTCAGGGTCATCCCAGCCCCTGGGACTGTCCCAGCTCTCAGGGTCATCCCAGCCCTTGGGGTCATCCCAGCCCCTGGAACCGTCCCAGCCCTTGGTGTCATACTCATCCCAGCCCTTGGGACTGTCCCAGCCCTCGGGATGGTCTCAGCCCCTGGGATGGTCCCAGCCCTTGGGGTCATCCTCATCCCAGCCCTTGGGACTGTCCCAGCCCCTGGGATGGCCCCAGCCCTTGGGATGGTTCCCTCCCCTGGAATGGTTCCCTCTCCCGGGATGGTCCCAGCCCCTGGGACGGTTCCAGCCCTCGGGATGGTCCCAGCCCGTGGGATGATCCCAGCCCTTGGGATGGTCTCAGCCCCTGGGATGGTTCCCTCCCCTGGAATGGTTCCCTCTCCCGGGATGGTCCCAGCCCCTGGGATGGTTCCAGCCCTCAGGATGGTCCCAGCCCCTGGGATGGCCTCAGCCCTCGGATGGAGCCTCTCCATTATGCAAACCTCCCCCTCTCCAGGCTCCCTTCCCTGTGGGAGCAGCTGGGAGTTGTGGTTTGTGCCCAAATCCTGCTGTTCTGGCACCGTGCAGCCCCGGGTGTGTGTTGAGAAGTGTTTTTCTGCCTGTCCCAAGGCTCTGTTCCATGTCCTGACACAGCACTTTTCCCAGGGAGATGCTTTATCCCACACATTTCACTTCCCAAGGGGGAGCCCTGGAAAGGGTTGATGTCACACTGCTGTTGAAGAGCCCCTCCCCATCCCAATCCCTCCCCTGGCACCTCTCCATGATCCACCAGCCCCTCCAGGTTCCCTTCCCTGTGGCAATGGCTGGGAATTGTGTTTTGTACCAAAATTCCCAGAGCTGTTCCAGCCCCAAGTGTGTGTTGAGCAGCCTTTGTCTGTCAGGCAGGGATTTTATCCCAAGGTGTTTCCCAGTGGGGAGCCCTGGGAGGGGGTGATGGGAAGCTGCTGTTGGCAATGATTTAAGACACAAAGTGCCTTGAGCTTCCCTGAACAGCTGCACTGCCACTGCCCCAGCCCTCTGCATGCCCACTGTGTCCTGGGAATGCCTCACACCCACGGGATGAACCCATGGAATCCCATTTCTCCTGACCCATCAAGTCAAGGCATCTCCACAAACTGCCCCCATCCAAAAGATTTCCCTGTTCACACAATTTTCCTCCTACTTTACTTCTTTATATTATAAAATCCTTCTCCTGATTTAAATTGCTTTATCCAGGAGATAATTTTGTATCTATTAAGAGCTGAAACCTTAATTTATTGCTCCATACCTTTGGAATCTAGCTGGAATTAGCACATGGAAGTGTTTGCTAGTGCTCAGTGTTGTCATTTCCTTCAGCACTGTTGAATCCAGTTGTTTTGTAGCATCAACTACAACTTTTAATGCTGTGATTTTCAAGCTGCTGTAACTGTTCTAGACTTGCCCTTCCCATTTTATTGCTGGAATCTGCTATTCCCAGCACTGGGATCCACGCTCCTGGCTTGCAGCTGAGCTGTAGAGCAGCCCCTGGCCTTGTTAAATGGAATATAAATAAGAGGGCCAGGACTGGTGGGCACTTACTGGTCTCATGAAGAAATCTGGGAATCCTGCATCAGCTCCAGGCTGCCCTGTAAATAGAAATAAGGGGAATTCTGCTGCTCTGGATTGGTTGATGTGCAAAAAAAAAAAAAAAAAAATCTAAAAGTCCCAAAGCACAGAGGGAAAAGCAGCAAAAATCCTCTTTTAAAAACCTGCTTTTAAGTGACCAGGAATAAAATATGGAGGTTGTTTTTAGCTCTTTTCTGTCCTTATAAGCTTGGAGGAGAAAAAAAATCCCTCATCAGACAAGCTTTTTTCAGTGTGAAGTTTTCAAATAACAACTGTCTTAAGTAGTTTTTTTAGGGCAACTTTGTACCTCATGAATTCATAGTGCTGCCCAAAGCTCGGGGGTGTTCACACTTCCTCAGGAGAGGCTCCAAACCAGCCAAAGCAGGAGTGGTAAAATGGGTGGATATGCAAAATTATTTACACAACTCATCATTCCAGAGTCTGGAGCACAATTCCTGGCCCAGGTAATGCTCATGGTACAGAAATATTGATAAATCCACTGCTGGACTGGGACCTGGGTCCTGGCTGTGCTGCACGAGCAGTAGCTTGGTTTTAATCTGTTTGAATTTACAGAAAACCAAGAAACCAACCAAAAAAAAAACCAAAAAACAAAAAACAACAACAAAAAAAAAACCCTTGAAGGATACAAAATGCCAAAAATTTGCTCTGGCCATTGAAGGGAGAGCTGACAGAGCTGGAGGAGGAGCCAGCCCTCCCTACTGGGAGCCCTCTAAAACCATCACCCCAACATCTCCCTCCAGCAGATCTGCCCCTGCACCTCTGAACTGAAACCATTTCCAGTGCCAGCAGTGGGTGTCCTGCATTCTCCAGGCTCAGTGCTCTGCCTGGGGCTTTTTCCTGGATTTGGGGGTTCAGCTGAGCAGCCTCTTGGCTTAGTTGTGCTGGAGGAGGGGCAGAGGACACGCACAGTGTGCACTGAAATGTGGCAGCTGGGAGCAGCAGGTTTTCTTTGCCAAGAGCTGTTTCCCTGGGCTGTGGATTGATTCTGGATCTCCCTCAAGGGCTATCAGGGGAAGGGTTGAGCCTTTTTTCTGGCTTTGCTTGGGGAGGAGTGGATGGGCTTGGCTTAACCCTCAGCTGAGGAAGGGAGCAAAGCCCAGCACCTCAGTCCTGGCCCTGAGCTGTGCCAGATCCTGCCCGTCCCCTGTGAGCTGTGCAGGGCTTTGGGAGCTCATCCTCCCCTCTGGAGGTCACTGGGATCTGTTTTCCAGCCAACCACACCCATGGAGATCACTGGAATTTGTGCAGGTGTTTGGGAACCAACCCTCCCATCTGCAGGTCCCAGGGCTCTGTGTTTGCCAGCCCAGCCTCCCTTTGGAGGTCACTGGGATCTGTCTTTCCAGAGGTCACAGAGCTCTGTGTTTTCCAGCCAAATCTCCCCTCTGGAAGTCACTGGGATCTGTTTTCCAGCCAAGTCTCCCCTCTGGAGGTCACTGGGATCTGTTTTCCAGCCAAACCTCCCCTCTGGAGGTCACTGGGATCTGTTTTCCAGCCAAACCTCCCCTCTGGCAGGGCTCTGTGCAGCCACAAGGCTCCAGCGCTGATACTCGTCCCTCCCAAGCTGCCATGGTGGAGAAGATGTTAATAAATTGTAAAGAATTAAGAGCTCCAAGATGACATTTCTGTGTTTGGATTATTCTTGTCTTATTTTGTGTGTTAATTTAAAAATGTCTGTTCCAGTCCAAGCACTGCACTGCTGTTTGAAGTTGCTTTTTTTTCCACTTCAGGGTATTTTTGTAACTGTACAGTAGCAATAAAAGAACAAACTTGGTAGAAAAATCAGTGTGGGAATGTCTTGAAACAAACACCAAGCTGGGAGCCAAAGGGGTTGAAACAACACTTCACAAGCCCTGGATAAGAAAGATTTTCAAGCTCCACAGATCTCAGAGTGGCAGAAGGTGGGAAGTAACAATTCCCAATTCTCTGCACAGGCCTTAATTCCACAGGAATAATGGACCCACCACTGAAGGCCAGAGCCCAGCACTAATTCCAGTGGCTGCACCCAGGTTACACAGGATTTGGTTCCCATTCTCACCCAGAATTTAACATTCCTTGATGGTTTAAGATCTCTTGGGGACAGAATTCCCTCATTTTCAGCAGGATTCCCTGCGGGTGTGGGAGGTGGTGGCTTTCAGGCAGTCAGGAGGGGATCCCTAGGGATAATTATTTAGGGAAATACACTCTCAGAGTGACAGCCTTCCAGTGGAGATGGGACAACCCAGTTCTTCCCCACAAGGGCATTTTTTGCTGCCTGGTTTTTGTACAAAGTGCCTGAGGGAGGAAAAACCTTGTGCTTCCTCCTGCAAGAGCAGCCTTCCTCAGGAGCAGAGCAATTCAAGCAGACAGGAGTCAAACACTTATCCAGCCACACCCTGTCCTCACACCTCAGCACTCCCCTTCTCCATCTCAGGCTCATTTTGCTTTATTTTAATCTAAAAAAACAAACCCAAGCAAACCAGAGCTCTTTGACAGAAAGTGCCACCTGCAGAATATCAGCTTTACACGATCATCACAGCTTGTGGCTCACAGTGTTTATAAACTGCTGCCTCCAGGCTATGGAGCATTTCCATCTTCTTGGAACACTGCTTAGATAAAGATCAGCTGAGAACAAACTTCTTCCCCAGCAAAACAAGAGGAAGAATCAGCAAAAACAGGGATCAGCAGGACCAGAGCAACATTTCCCAGAGGAAAAATTCAGATCAGTGGTCACAGGCTTCAGCAGCAAAATTACCAAATTTTGTCCAGGAGGTGAATCCACAATTCACCCGCCACGCTTCCAGCAGGAGCTAAATTCCCTTCCCAGAGCCCAGAGGCGGCACATTTCCCCGCGTGGCCGTGGGCAGGACGTTCCTGAAGGTGAGGTTGACCCTGGGGGCCAGCACCCTCCTGCGCGGGGGCAGGCTGTGGTGCCAGTGCACGTTGGTGGGGTGCTCCATGAGCAGCAGGCTGCCGTGGGCCAGGGCCAGGCTGATCCTGCCCGGGCCCCGCGGCCCTGCCCGGCCCCGGCGGCGGAACACGAAATCCCGGCAGGCTCCGAAGGACACCGAGGCGATGGGGCTGCGCGGAACCAGCTCCTTCTCGTCGTCCCGGTGCTCCCCGATGTGGTCCAGGCCGTCTTTGTACCTGGTGATGAACTCTGCGCTTGGTATTCCTTGCATTTTCAATGTTGATTTAATTGTTATTAATTTAATAATGGTATATATTTACATTTCATATTTTTATATTTTTATATATATTATATAGTCACATATTATTAATATATATTAATTTTATATTTAATTCTATAAAATAGATAAATACATTACATATTATTGAATTAATTTTTCACTAGTATATAGATTATTTACTAGTCAATAGATATTTTATATATAATTAATTTAATAATTTGATTGTTACATTATTAAATTAATGACTATAAAGATAATTAATTAATTTAATAATAACTAGCTCTGTTAATTAACTCTGTTAATTCCCACCTGTCAGATTAAGCCTTTTTCTGACCCAGAGTTGGGGCAACTGAGAAGCATTTTAAAAACTTTTATTCCATTTTCAGTCTCATGTGAAGGGTGAGACAACACAGGTGTTATAATTCACACCACCACAATCAGAAGCTAATTATCTCCTAATTACATTGTAAGTGTTTATTGGCCTATCAGCTTTTGTCACACCGTGCTGTAAATGCCTGAAAACCAATTATCTAAAATTACCCCTGGTGGGTCCCACTACAATGCATCTTTCACTGTGCTGTTTCTCCAAAGTATTTAGTCTTATTTGCAAAGCCATCCTTTAAAACTTGCTTTAGCTCCATTTCTCTCTCACCAATGTCTGTCCTGTTCCATGGCATTTCTAAGTAAACATTTCTTTCAACAGATTTCGTTTATTACACACGGATACACACTATGTGTGCCTTCTGTCAAGCTTTGAGAATTCTCTACAAATCCATTTCCCACACCTACCATCAATTACTTACCAAAATAATAATTATTTCCCAATTTAATCAAACCAAACAACTCAAATGCTGCACAAGCGTGAAGAATTTTTTAATTAATTTAAGATGGGACCTCTGAATTATTTTTAATGATGCAGTTTATTTTTCTTATCTTTTATGTAAGCAGGAGAGTTCAGCTCACGTTTTTATAGTTCAGAAAGCTACAAAACTTCTAGTTATAAGACTTAAAGATTTATTGATTAATAAAACACTGCTATCAAAGATATTTATATTCTTAACTTCAAATATTTTTTCCTATAGACTTATGTTACAGTGTAAGCTTTCTTAGCTAATTATGAGACACAAACTTATAGTGCTGCATTCTAAACTTCTTGTTTACCTTTGTAACTACTTTTATATTTTCTATAGTTTTAAACTCTAAAATTCTAAACTTTCTTTTCCTTAGTTTAACCTAGGCTACACTTAGTTTTACCTAGTTTACACTTAGTTTTACCTAGTTTACACTTAGCTTTACACTTAGTTTACACTTAGCTTTACACTTAGTTTACACTTAGTCTACACTTAGTCTACATGTAGTTTAAACTTAGTTTACACATGGTTTTACCTAGTTTACACTTAGTTTAAACTTAGTTTACACTTAATTTTACCTAGTTGACCCTTAGTTTTACCTAGTTTACACTTGGTTTTACCTAGTCTACACTTGGTTTTACCTAGTCTACACTTGGTTTACACTTAGTTTTACCTAGTTGACCCTTAGTGTCTCTGCTTTAAACCACAAATCCACATTCTTGCTCCTAGCACTTAAGTTTGGAAGCCTTTTCTAAGGTCTTAAATCCCGTGTTTAATTCTAAGCTTTAGCTCACAGCCCTAAAGTCCTGAGAGCTGCCTGCATTTCAGATTCCAACATATAAATTGTTTTTTTTTTTTTCCTTTCATTTGAAGCACAAGCTGCTGGCTGGGAAGGGGCTGTACCTGTTGATGAGGACGAAGTTGAAGGAGTGTCCCGTCTCCGAGGTGACGCGCTCCCGGATCCGGGTCAGCACCGGGATCCAGGGCTTGGGGTGGAACGTGACCCCCGAGTAGGTGTAGGACAAGCCAGGGTCTCCGTAGGTCACCTTCTTCCTGGGAATCTTGTGCCACTTGCCAAACACCTGCAGCTTTGTCGCGTCATCTGCGGGGAAGGAGCAAACCCGGGTTTATTTGTGAAAAAACCGCGTGTTTTGTGATTGGCTTTTGGCAAATATTAAAATGAATGTTATATGTGCTGTGCTAGAAAGTTATGCTGTAGTAACACTTTAATAGTATGGGAAATGTAGTTTCATAGTTGAAAGGTAATTTTTGTTGTTAAAATAGGAACTATGTATGTGGAATGTTTTCTTTTTAGAAAGGAATGAGGTGCTCGGGTGCAGGACACCTAAATCTTTCACAGGAAGAGAATTTATCTTTTTTTATCAGGAATTTATCTCTTTCATCAGGAGAAACAAACTTGTTCCCACCTGGTTCAGTCAAAAAGATGCTGTTAGGATTAAGAGAATAAGTTGATGATGAACAGACAAAATCCTTTATTTGAATGGAATTTATGCATCATGTATGAGGTGTATGAATATGTTACAGGCTATCATTTTTAAGGGTTAATCCTCTGTTAATGGGTGTTCTTTTTCGGGCTTGTGTTGCCCAGAAAAAGGTACCTGGACATCTGTAACTGTTTGTTTTTATTGTCTCGTATTGTCCTAATCTCAACTGTTCAAATTTTATTACTCTAATTACATTACTATTGTTATAACCATTTTATTACGATTAAACTTTGAAAAATTTTACAAACAAATGATTGGCGTTTTTCACAGTATTGTGAAAAGTATTTCACAGTATTGTCTCTGCACAGTCCAATATTCTCCTGGATCTGCAGCTCCTGGCAATGTCCAACAGGAATGAGGGTGCTCGTGTCAACCCAAAAGCTGCCATCCCTGTTCCCAGGGTTTGTGTCCCTCTTGTCCTCCCCCTCCAAGGGGATGAGCAGCACCCCGATCACATCCCTCACACGCTGCATCTCCAACGAATTCCACCACCGCTCCAGGATTATCCCTTAACAAACACTTCCAGCTCAGCAAAGCCTCCCAGGGCAGGAATATACCTTCGAAATACTCCACCTCCTTCTCCAGCTCCTGGAAGATCTCGTCCGCCTCGGCCTTGTCGAAGAGGATGCGGTAATCACAGCTGAGCCCCTCGGCGCGGATCTCCCGCGGCGGCGGCCGCTCCGGGCCGGCCTTCTCCAGCCGCGGCCTCTTCCCGCCGCCACCGCCATCCCCCGGCTGCCCGCGGGGCAGTTTAACCACGAACCTGTCCATGGGCGGCCCCGGCACCGGGAGCGCTGCCCGGGAGGAGCGGGAGCCGCGATCCCGCGGGAAACGGGAGCACGCGAAGCCCCGCCCCCTCTCCAGCTGACCACGCCCCCCCGGCGCACGCGCGCGGTTTTGGCGCCAAACCCGAGTCCCGCCCCATTCCGCGCCGCTGCCGCCCCTCACTCACCCCCGGCCCGCCGCAGCCATGATCGGGCAGAGGACGCTGCACTCCTTCTTCAGCCCCGCGCCGGCCAAGAAGCGCCCCCGCTCCCCGGAGCCGGGCGGCGATTCTGAGGTAGCGATCGGGGGGCTGAGGGAGCCCGCGGCTCCGGAGGAGGGGAGAGGGGAGGGACGAGAGGGGTCTGCCGGCGGCACGGGCCTGCCCGGCTCTGTGTGTGTGGGAGGGGGCCTGGGGGCGCTGCCGGCCTTTTCTGAGGGGAGTTGTGGGGGGGGGAACACAATTTCTAAACTCCCGCGCGGCTCCACGCGTGGCTGAGCTGCCAATCAAGCGGCCACGCTCCGCTGCCGCCCAATGAGCGCTGGTCCCCTCCGTGACGTCACTGTTGCTAGGTGAAAACCTCCCCTCCATCCGCGGCGAGCCAATGAGGAAAAGCGAGCGTTTTTCCCGCTGACCAATAGCGAGCGGGCGTTTGTGCTCGCCGCTGTGGGCGGCCAATGGGGGCGCGCTTTGTGTTTTGCCGCGGAACAACCGCGTGCGGCGGGGCCGCCCCTTGGGCGGGACCTTGTGCAGCCATGGCCGGACCTTGTGCAGGCATGGCCGCACGTTGTTTATCCACGGCCGGTGCCGCCGTGGCCGCGGTGCTGCTCCGCCCCAGACTGCGCTCCCGCCTCGGGCTGCTCCCCCGCTCCGGGCTGCATTCCCGCTCCGCGCTGCTCCCCCGCCCCAGGCTGCGCCCGCTGCCCTCCCGCACCCTCCGCAGCCACCCCCCTGCCCGCTGCTTCCAGGCGAGCGCCGCCAAGAAGGCGAAGGAAGCCGGCGAGAAAGCGAGCCCGGCGCTGAGCGCGGAGCAGCAGGAGCGCATCCGCAGGAACAAGGAGGCGGCGCGGCAGCTGCTGGCCGAGCGGAACGTGCCCCCGGGCTTCGGCGACAGCTGGCGGCGGCAGCTGGCCGGGGAGTTCTCCAAGCCCTACTTCGTGGAGGTGAGCAGCATGCCCCGATCCCCCCGCCCCGAGCCCTCGCTGAGCCCTCGCTGAGTCCCCGCTGCCCCCGCAGCTGATGGCGTTCGTGGCCGAGGAGAGGAAGCGCTGCACGGTGTATCCGCCCCCCGAGCAGGTCTTCACCTGGACGCAGATGTGCGACATCTGGGATGTGAGTAGAGTGTGTGGTGTGGGGGTCTCTGAGCTGCTCCCGGGAGTCTGAAACCCTGAAGGTGCGGGGTGGGTGCACAGACACGTTCCTTTAGTGTGTGGTCCCTTAAACTTGGATCCCACAGGGTTTGGATGCTGTTGTTTCGTTCACTTACCTCATAAATCCAGCCTTCCCTTTCATGTCTGATAACAAACTGTGATTTTATTCTTTTATTACTCTCACAAGCCACAGAACTTCCTCTGATCCTTTTGATCTTTTTTCTGGTGTTAACAGCTTAACCGAGTTCATGGTTTTTTGGTCTTGTACATCTCTTGTTCTTTTAATTGATCAGTAAAGGACTGTTATTAAAAGAAAATAAGACAGCACAAGGTAATGTTATTTCCGATAAAACCTGTCAAAAATATCACAGCAAGTGTGGCATAAACCTGAAATGGGATGAAACTTACTTGGAAAATGACAAGGTGGTTTTTTGTGACTGTGAAAATGTTTGTCAAATTATATTAGTTAAATTCATTATTTTGGCAGCAAAGCCATAGGGATAGTAATCCTTAATGTTAGGTGGGCTCTGTGCTCTTTAGCAATGAGATATCTTGGATTTAACTTCAGTTTCTTGGAGGGGTTGGTTTGTGGCATTTTCTTGTCTCTATTTTAGGATTAAGATAATTTATAAGCCTTTTTTCCCCTCACTCGGGGGAATAATACTGATTACAATTCAGTGCTAACCAAGGTCTGCTTTCAGGTAAAGGTTGTTATTTTGGGACAAGATCCATACCATGGACCTAAGCAAGCTCACGGGCTCTGTTTCAGTGTCCAGAAACCTGTTCCACCTCCCCCCAGGTATGAAAATTTGCAAAATCCCTTTTGTTCCTTAATTATTTGCAGTTCTGTGGTGCTCAGGGCTGGGAAAATTTATGTGAAGTGGTTTGCAACTACTTAAATTTGAGTTGTGCATCACCTGGAAGGATAATTCTGTGCAGTTTGGGTGATACTCTGGATGTAAATTTTAATTTCCAGTCTCATTAAAGCTGCCAGGCAGACACAGAGTCCCTGCTGCCCCGCCTCTGCAAATGGCTTTATTGTCTTAAATAATGAGATTAAAATCAATGCTTTTCTTGTCTGCTTTGAGCAATAAGTGGTGCTGCTTGCTCTTGTCGTATTAAAAACCTTCTGCTGGTTTGGTTTGCAGCTTGGAGAATATTTACAAGGAGCTCTCTGAGGACATTGAGGGCTTCACCCACCCTGGCCATGGGGACCTGACAGGCTGGGCCAAGCAAGGTGAGCTCAGAGACACTCAGTGATGTGCCCCCCGTGGAGCAGGAAAGAATCTGATGTAAAAACCAGCCCCGTGGTTGGAAATAATCCACCTGTAGGAGAGAAAATCACTTCTGAGCGCCTTAAAATGAAAATCTGCTTCAACAGCGAAAAAAGAAGTTTAAATCCCAGAATGGTTTGGGTTGGAAAGGAGCTTAAAGCTTATCCAAGGGACACCTTCCACTATCCCAGGTTGCTCAGAGCTCCATCCAGGAGCAGTCCCGGGCTGGATTAACCCTTGTTTCACCCTCTGGATGTGCTTTGTTTGCCAGGGGTGCTCCTGCTCAACGCGGTGCTGACGGTTCGGGCTCACCAGGCCACGTCCCACAAGGAGAGGGGCTGGGAGCAGTTCACAGATGCTGTGGTGTCCTGGCTCAACAAGAACCTGCACGGGCTTGTCTTCATGCTCTGGGGAGCCTATGCCCAGAGGAAAGGCAGCTCCATCGACAGGGTACACCTCCTTCTCCTCAGCCCTTCCCTCTCCCTGGTTTTTCCCTCGTTCTGGTGGACACTAGAGGGCACTTCCCTTACAGAATTGGGAATTTTCCCTGCCTGAACTCTGTCAGATTGAGTTCTGCTCCAGCTTAGCCTTTGCCAGAATTAAGCAAGAAAAGTGGAGCAAGTGTAAGCTCCTGTTGTCAGCAGTGTCTCGCAAGGACAGAGCTGTTTCTCCTAGCTGAGGGCTCATGAATCAATATGAAATCTGCTGGTGGCATGACAGCAATTGGGAAATGCCAGGGCATTTATGCCTTTGCTTAGTGGGACAGAAGTCTTGGTCCTTGTGGCTGGTTCTTTGGGTCTCAGGCTGGTGCAGGAGGGGGTGTAAGGGGAGATCACACCTGCCCTGGAGCAGGAGGAGCTAGAACGGGGGTAAATCACCTGCCCTGGAGCAGGAGGAGAAAGAATGGGGGTAAATAACCTTCTCTGGAGCAGGAGGAGCAGGAATGGGGGTAAATCACACCTGCCCTGGGGCAGGGGGAGCAGGAATGGGGGTAAATCACCTGCCCTGGAGCAGGAGGAGCAGGAATGGGAACAAATCACCTGCCGTGGAGCAGGAGGAGGAAGAACGGGGGTAAATCACCTGCCCTGGAGCAGGAATGGAGGCAAATCACCTGCCCTGGAGCAGGAGGAGCAGGAATGGGAACAAATCACCTGCCGTGGAGCAGGAGGAGGAAGAACGGGGGTAAATCACCTGCCCTGGAGCAGGAGGAGGAGGAATGGGGGTAAATCACCTGCCCTGGGGTAGGAGTTGGGGTAAATCACCTGCCCTGGAGCAGAAGGAGGAGGAATGGGGGTAAATCACACCTGCCCTGGAGCAGGAATTGGGGGTAAATGACACCTGCCCTGGAGCAGGAGGATGCCCTGGAGCAGGAATTGGAGGTAAATCACACCTGCCCTGGAGCAGGAATTGGAGGTAAATCACACCTGCCCTGGAGCAGGAATTGGAGGTAAATCCCACCTGCCCTGGAGCAGGAGGTGCCCAAACCCTCCAAATCTAACAAGTGGTTTCCTCTGCTGTCCCCAGAAGCGTCACCACGTCCTGCAGACGGTTCATCCCTCACCCCTCTCTGTCAACAGAGGGTTTTTTGGCTGCCGGCACTTCTCCAAGACTAATGAGTTCCTCAAGAAGTCTGGGAAGAAGCCCATCGACTGGAAAGCACTCTGAGCTGGGGCTGAGGCTTGGGAGCAGCCCTGGGCCAGGGCTTGGGGCATTTCTGAGAAACTCCTGCTGACCTGAGAGTTGTTCTTTGGTTGTTGATAATGAACAAATGACCAAACTTTCAGAGGTGGTTATATTTTTGTTTTAAATGTTTCTTTTTCGACAGCATGTTTGATGGACAGCTCTGCTGCTGGAACAGATCTTAGCCTGGTTTGAAGCAAAAAAAAAAGACCCCAACCACCAGAGTTCTGTATTAATTTGTGCTTGTTGTGGCAGTGGGAATTTATTTTCAGACGCTGGTGAAGGGATGTCAGTTCTTACGAGCTGCTCAGCTTTTGTGCATGCTCTGCTGCCTCCTTCCCAAAAAATCCAGTTTGCCTATTTAGGGGGGAATGGAGCTGTCTCCGTGGGAGGAAAAGGCTTTTGGTTTTAGCTTTTTGCTACAGATTTATTACAAAAATGGCTTCTCAAGGCTGTAAAGAAAATACAGGGTCAGGAGTGTCGCTTGGTGTATCCATGATCGCAAGATTTTGGGATAAATCCTCCCTTCAGCCACAGGGAGGCTGTGGCCAAGACCCTTGGTAACGCTTTTGAATTTTTTGTTGGCATTTAGACGGGAAAGTCAAAAGGTTTTGGGTTCTTCCTGGGTGTGCAAATCACCTGGATGACAGGTGAGCTGTGCTGACCAAGGATCTGGGGGTACTTGCTGATGGCAGCAGCGAAGGTTTGTTCATTGACACCTCTCAAATAAGGGACTGATAGTTGCAAATTACTTCAGGTCTTTTTAAGATCTTAAAAGAGGGAACTTTGTGCTTTGCCACCTTGGGAGCAAATTAAAGTTTCCACTTACTGTTGGCAATAACTGTTAGGATTTCCAGGAGGAAGAGGTGTTGACTTCATACTCCTGGGTTTCCAGCCCATCTTTGACATTGTAATTTCTTTAATGGAAATGCCTTTTTTTGTTTTGAAATTACACCAGTTTTTATAGAATATCCTTGTAACCCTTCCTCTGGTGTTCTCTCTGAGCTAACACTATCACCAGTGAGTTTACACTGTCTGTGCCCTTGCTGTATATGTTGTTTGCTTGGGTTTTTTTTTTCCCCAGTCTGTTTTTTAAAATAAAAATTACTTTGTTTACATGCTCTTGCATTGATATTTTAACACAGGGAGGGAGGGGGGGTGGAATGGGGAGTCCCTGTTCCCCCCAGGGAGCCAAACCCAGCAGCATGTCCTTGTCCTCGTCCCTGTGACCAGGCACAGGGCCAGGGCACCTTTGTCCCGCAAGGATCGGGTGTCCCCCTCCCTCCTTCCACCCTCATCTCCCGCAGAAGTTTTCCAGACACGTTAGCAGAGAAATATTTGTGACCATCACGTGTGAGACCCGACTGGAACAGCCCGGGGGGGGCCCGTGCTTCCCTTGGGGGCGGCCCTGGCACCGCCCGGGCTCCGGCCCGGGGAGCGGGGAGGGACAGATGGACACACGGAGGGACCGCTGACACCGGAGTGACCTGGGAGCCCGGCGTGACCGGCGGGGTCGGGCACGGGGCTGGTAGCCATGGTGAGGGGGCGAGGGCCGAGGGGAGGGTCAGGGGCTGAGGGGGCGAGGGCCGAGGGGAGGGTCAGGGGCTGAGGGGGCGAGGGCCGAGGGGAAGGTGAGGAGCTGAGGGGAGAGTCGGGGGCTGAGGGGAAGGTGAGGAGCTGAGGAGGCCGTGCCTCTTTTCCCTCACCCCCATGCCCATCTCTGTCGGGGATAAACGACCGCGGTTCGGGGGTCCCGTTCAACCCCCCGCGGTATGAGGGCCGGGCTGGGGGCCGCCATCCTGAGGGTGCTGTGAGGGCCGGGCAGGCGAGGCCGTGTCACCCCCCCGGCTCCTCGCGGAGCAGGGAAAACAGCTCCGGCTGAGGGCGGCCGGCACCGGGCGCTGCGGTGCTGCAGCTCTGGGGACGGGGCCGTGGTTTCAGCGGCACAGCCGTAACCGGGGTGGGTGCTCCGTGTCCCCCAGGGCCCGTGAATGCTGCCGGCTGCGCTGCTCCTGCTCGCTGTGCTGCTGCTCGTTTGGGCTAAAATGTCCAACTCTCGGTGCGAGCAGGAGAAGGAGCCGGAGGAGAGCCCCGCGGGGCTGCCCCCCGCAGCCGGGCCCTCGGCTCAGCCGAGCCCCGCGGGCCGGCAGAGCCCCCCGGGCCGGCAGAGCCCCCCGGGCCGGCAGCCGCCGCCGCGGGCCGGGCGGGCGGGCGCGGAGCAGGAGCAGCTCGCCGTGTACAACCCCGCGGCGCTGCGCCGCCCGGCCCTCGCCAAGTTCGTGCTGGGCTCCTTCGACGACAACTCCTCCGATGATGAGCTGATGGCCACGGCCTTCAGGGTGGGCCGGCGGCGCAGCAGCCTGGCCGGGGTGGCGGGTACCGTCCCCGAGCCCCCCACCGTGAGCGCCCTTCTGGAGCCCAGCGCCGGCATCAGGTAGGGATGGCAACCCCCGATGGCCGGAGCGTGGTGGGGAAGGGATGTCCCGGTTAGGGAGGGCGGGTGCTTGTGGTGGGTGCATTGCTGGTGGTAAAATTGGGGGGCACACGTGCTGGTGCTCCTCGGAACCACAAGGTGATGCCCCCAGTCGTGCTCCCTTTGAAGGGGCAGAACCAGTGTCCTTGGCTGTGTGACAGCAGTGCCACCTGCATGAGAGTGGCAAGAACCAGGGCAGGGGGTGCCCCCCAAAATCCCTAGTTTGGATGTGGGGCAGCTCACTCCCTGCTGGCTGCACCGGGCAGCTCCCATGGGAGCACAGCTGATATCCAGAAGAAACAACTTGGAAGCCAAATGCTGCTGCCTGCCTCCTCCAGCTGCTCTGCTCTGGCTAAAAATAACAAACCTTTGGCTGCAGGGACGTGTTGTGACACTCGACAGCCCGACGGTGGCTCTTGCCACGCTGGGTTTGAGGTGGTGCTGCCAGCAGTATCCCTGTTGCTCTTCCATCCTTCCATAAGGAATTTCCTTATGTCCTGCCTGAGTCACATTGTAGATATGGTTGGTGACCTTTGCAGGACAGGCTTTGCAGGGGGTTTGGGGCTGGGGGTGGGCTCATTGGAGTGGCTCTGGGCTCTCTGGGTGGCCCTGGGCTCAGTGACAGCCACCACATTCCCACCACAGGCCCAGCATGTCGGGGCTGAGCCTGGCAAAGAGGAGCCACAGGAAGATGGACTTGCAGCGGGATTTTTCCGTTGCCTCCCCAGCCGAGTTCGTCACCCGCTTTGGGGGCAACCGTGTCATCGAGAAGGTCTGTCCCCACACGCCTCTGCTTGTGCCTGGCAAGGGGGTCACTGCTTTTTGCAGGGACATCTTTGAGCGCTGCCCAAATGTCCTGTGTCTGCCAGGCTTGGAGCAATAGCAGCCCAGAGCTGTTCATTTCGTGGCTTCACTTGCTCTCATGGGCTGGGAGAGGGAACCCCATGCAGCAGCTTTGCTCAAACGATGGCCAAAATCCCATCCTTGGTTATCCCCAGTGCCAGACATTGGCGATGTTGTTGAGGAGTCTCATGCTCTGCTGGGATGTACAACCAGCTTCATCCTCCCTCCTTTCTCCACACCCATCCCTCGCCCCTGCGCTGCCATCCCTCGGGGTAGCAAGGACAGGGTTCACCCTGCCACCCCCTGTCCCTGTCCCCCCAGGTCCTCATTGCCAACAATGGCATTGCTGCTGTGAAGTGCATGCGCTCCATCCGCCGCTGGGCCTACGAGATGTTCCGCAACGAGCGCGCCATTCGCTTCGTGGTCATGGTCACCCCCGAGGACCTCAAGGCTAACGCAGGTAATTCCTGAAAATATCCAAAAAAGGAAGTTCCTGACCTGGGGATGAGCTGGGGCAGCCCTTTCCTGCCTGGCATGTGTGGGCTCTGCACAGCCTGGAGTAACACACTTCACTCCCGTGCAGCCAAATCCAGAAGTAAATATTTTTTCCCTGCTCCAACTTCCCCGGGATGGAGGATTTGGGAAGGGGTGCCACTCAGGGATCTGGCTCCCAGCACTCCCCGTGCTCTCTTGCAGAGTACATCAAGATGGCAGATCACTACGTGCCAGTCCCTGGAGGGACAAACAACAACAACTACGCCAACGTGGAGCTGATCGTGGACATTTCCAAACGGATCCCAGTCCAGGTAGTGGCCATTTGTGTGTCCCACCTCCTTGCCAAGGGCAGTTCCTGGGCAGAGGGGACACCCCAAAAGGGGGTGATGTCCCTGTGTGCTGAGGAGCTGGGCGTGGTGGGAGATGCCAGCATAGGGGTAACATTCCCACTGCTCCTTCTCCTTGTGCCAGGCGGTGTGGGCTGGCTGGGGACACGCCTCAGAGAACCACAAGTTGCCAGAGCTGCTGCAGAAAAATGGGATAGCTTTCCTAGGTAAGGTCTCACTGCTTCTCCATGCTGGGTGTTGGGCTGGTGTGTGCACTCACAGTCACTTCCAGGGACACTGCAATGGGAATTCTCCTTTGGTGCCTCTGGCATGCCTGGCCCATGGAATGGCAGTCCTCAGGCTGGTTTCCTGGGGCATTCCCGTGAATCCTGCTGTTTTTTGGGTTTTCCCTGTAATGTTCAGGCTGATGCAGTGTTCACAGAGGAACACTGTGTGGGAGCAGACCTTGTGGGATTCTCAGCCTGAGCTCCCCTTGGAGGAGTCCTGAGCTGAGCACTGGGTTTGAGGAGGTTTCTTTCCTGCATCCCCAGTCTTTGGAGAAGGCTGATGGGGCTGACTCAGTGATGTAGGGATGGGCTGGTGGGTTGGGCACCCCCTCAGCCCTTCTCTCCCTCTCCAAAGGTCCCCCCAGTGATGCCATGTGGGCGCTGGGGGACAAAGTCGCCTCCACCATCGTGGCTCAGACCCTGGAGATCCCCACATTGCCATGGAGTGGGAGTGGTGAGTGCCTCCTCACATGCTCCCTGCTCTCCTCTTCCCTCCTTCCTGCCTCCCCTTCCCCCCAAACAAGCACCAGGATTGGGTCCTTGGTCCATCTGGCCACACACATTGGGGACTCCATTGCAGCAGCTGATTTGGGCAGGGGGATTTTGGAGATGGAGTGCCTGGAAACAAGGGAAATTATGGAATCCTCAGCTCCCTAGGCACACCCAGCATGCCACCCCAGCTGTGCCACCCTGGTGGTGACCACAGCCCTGGCCATATCTGCAGGTCTGGTGGCTCAGTGGTCTGAGGAAGACCAGAATCATCAGCAGGCCATCAGCATCCCCCTGGAGACGTATGCACAGGGCTGCGTGAAGGACGTGGAGGAAGGCCTGGAGGTAAAGCTGAGCCTGTAGGCAGCTGCTTATCTCCTGCCCACCATGATTCCTCCTCAGAGCCTGCCTGCCCTGGCCCTTCTGGCCTCCCAGCACACACCACACACACACAAGGCTGTGCCAGCAGCAGTTTGTCCCACTGAATGAATGTCACTTGGGATAATCCTGCTCAGGGATGCCTGGAATTGTGTGGGCTGTCAGGTGGTGTGCTGGGGTCCAAAACACTACAGTCACCCCAGCCCTGACCCTCTCAGGTGGCCATAAGGATCGGCTACCCCCTGATGATCAAGGCAGCAGAAGGTGGCGGGGGAAAAGGCATCCGAAAAGTGGAGACAGCAGAGGAATTTAGTGCCTGTTTCCGGCAGGTGAGAGGTGCCTGGAACCCCTATCCCTGTTCCGTCCCATCCCGGCAGGGTCCTGCTCCCACCCGGGGCACCTCCCACTTCCTCCATCCTGGGATGAATTTCGGGGGGCGATGCCAGAGCATGACCCTCTCCCCCGCCGCAGGTGCAGGCGGAGGCGCCCGGATCCCCCATTTTCCTGATGCAGCTGGCGCAGCATGCGAGGCACATGGAGGTGCAGGTCCTGGCAGATGAGTACGGCAACGCCATCTCCCTCTTCAGCCGGGACTGCTCCATCCAGCGCCGCCACCAGAAGATCATCGAGGAGGCACCCGCCACCATCGCTGCCCCCACTGTCACCGAGATGATGGAGAAGGTGGGTGGCCTAATCTAGGACAGCACGAGGTTTTAGTGGAAAACTGGGCTGGGTTTACTGGGGTTTTAAGGAGGGGAGAGACCCCTGAGCTGAGCAGGACTCCCTGTCCAGGGTGGTAGGGCACAGGAACAGCCTCCCCATGGAAGCAATCACAGCTCTAAGTGTGCCAGAGTCCAGGGAGCGTTTGGACTTTCAGGCACACGGTGGAGTTTTGGGGATGTCCTCTGCACAAGCAGGAGCTGGATGCCGATCCTGCGAGTCCCTTCCAAGGCAGGATACCCCGTCCTTCCATGACCCAGGTGTTTCCCTCTCCCGCAGTGCGCTGTCCGCCTGGCCCAGATGGTTGGGTACGTCAGCGCAGGCACCGTGGAGTATCTGTACGGGGAGGACGGGAGCTTCCACTTCCTGGAGCTGAACCCCCGGCTGCAGGTGGAGCACCCGTGCACGGAGATGGTGGCGGACGTGAACCTCCCAGCTGCCCAGCTGCAGGTACCTGCACGCACGGCTCACTCCAGGGGTGTTAGAGGAGGCAGTTTGGGCATTTAGGGAGGAGCACTGGGCTGGAGCCTGGCAGAGGGAAGCTGCCCCATATCCCAGCATGGAGGGTGCAGGTGACAGAGGTGTGGCAGCTTTCCTTCTACTCTGGTTTCCCACTGGGAGCTCTCTGTTCAGACTCTCTGTCGGTGTCTGCCTGGCAGCTCAGGCCTTTTGTCTCTCCTGCAGATTGCAATGGGCATCCCCTTGCACAGGATAAAAGACATCCGGGTGCTGTATGGGGAGAGCCCCTGGGGGGACACCCCCATCTGCTTCCACAGCCCCTCCAACCCCCCCGTGCCCAGGGGCCATGTCATTGCTGCCCGGATCACCAGCGAGAACCCCGAGGAGGTGAGCTGGGGTCAGGGTGGGGACAAGGGGACTCTGCCACCTGTGGCGTTGAACTGGGCATGGTCCTCCCCAGCCAGACAATGTTCATGGGATCGGTGCAATCCATGGGGGGTCCCCTTCCCTGTCTTGCTGCATGAGTCTCAATCCTGGTTCCTCCATCTCTGCTCTGTTTTGGCTCAGGGTTTCAAGCCCAGCTCGGGGACGGTGCAGGAGCTGAACTTCCGCAGCAGCAAGAATGTCTGGGGGTACTTCAGCGTGGCAGCAGCTGGGGGACTGCATGAATTTGCTGATTCCCAGTTTGGACACTGCTTCTCATGGGGAGAGAACCGGGAGGAGGCCACCTCGTGAGTGTGGCGGGATGAGTTGGAGGGCGTGTGTCCTTGGGAAGAGTCACAATTGGTGTGTGAGCTGGGGAAAGTGGTTTTTATCTGACAGGACCAGAAAGGTGCTGCTGTGCTAAGCACCTGGCTGTTTGGACAAAGCCAGAATTTTTTGGACTGTGGTGGTGCTGTGGCTCCAGTTCACCCACCTGATCCTCAAGGACATGTTGAAGTCATCTGCTGAGCATTGCTTAGTGCCCGTGAGCAGCAGTGTCCATCAGGAGCTGAGCAGCAGTTTCATGGACAGGCAGATGGGGCTTGGAGTAACTTGATCTAGTGGAAGGTGTCCCTGCCCATGGCAGGGGGTGAAACAAGAGAATTTTTAAGGTCACTTCCAACCCAAACCATGCAGTGATTCTACTCTATTAAGTTGCTGGGGGCTCAGGACCTAATCATCTCAGGAGCTCATTGCCCTACGCCCTGAAGCTCCCCAGTTCCCTCTGCTGGGAGCCAAGTGCCATCTTCTCAGTCATTAATGAAGGGCTTTTCTCCTTAAAAGGAACATGGTGGTGGCCCTGAAGGAGCTGTCTATCCGTGGGGATTTCCGGACCACGGTGGAGTACCTGATCAAGCTGCTGGAGACAGAGAGCTTCCAGAACAACGAGATACACACGGGCTGGCTGGACGACCTGATTGCTGAGAAAATGCAGGTGGGGGTGATGCCCTGGGGTCACCACTCCCCTCCCTTGGGGTAAGACCCAAACTCTGTTATTTTTGCCCCCACAGGCAGAGAAGCCAGACACGATGCTGGGGGTTGTCTGTGGTGCCCTGAACGTGGCAGATGCTGCTTTCAGAACATGCATGACTGACTTCCTGCACACGCTGGAGAGGTGCGGAGTGGGGGCTGCCCAGGATGGGTTCAGTCATGTGGGAGGCACCTTCCACCAGATCAGGTTGCTCCAAGCCTCATCCAACCTGGCCTTGAGCAGTTCCAGGATTGGGGCAACCACAATGGAGACCTGAGTGTTGTTTTTCTGGGACATCTTCCTCCCAGTTTTGCTTTACAAATTTAGTGACAGTAATACTGTGACAGGCAGGGACAGGGGTATCTGGATCCTCAGCTATCACTTTGTCTGGACAGGAAAGGCTTCCCATGGCTGGGAAAACAGCTTTCAAGGGGAAGTGGCTTGGCTGTGCAGTTTGCTTTTGTTGTTGAATATCAAGGTTATTCCTCCAGCGTTGGAGGACTCCCAGGGCTCTCCCATGTGCCTTATCTGAGTGTTTTCCCAGTGCCTGGCCTCCCTCCAGATCTGGCTGTGCATGGTACTCATGTGGGTCACTTAAAGCTGACACTTGTCCCCTCTGGTCACCATCGTGCCCTCCCACCAGGACTGGGAGCACTGCTGACATCCCACATGCTTGGAGAGGCAGGGAATGCTCTGGGGCCTGATCCCTCCATTGTGTTTCAGGGGCCAGGTGCTGCCAGCAGCCTCTTTGCTGAACATTGTCGATGTGGAGCTCCTCTATGAGGGAGTGAAGTACATTCTCCAGGTGAGGGCAGGGCTGTGCTCCCCCCAAACCAGCCACAGTGCTTCTCAAGGGGTCAGGGACGTGCTTCTGTCCCAGGGGAGAAAACTGAAATAGATACAAAGCTGTCCTTTAAAAATGGGCAACACAAAAATGAGGTCAATAACCTCATAACCTTAATAACCTTGTTTTAACCTGACAGACATTTTCATACACCCTGTTGCTCTGAGTTTATTAGGGGACTTCATTTTCTTGCTTTTAAACCAAATTAGTTGGACTTCATGCAAAAGTCCTTACTCACGATGAAAGTGGCAGGTGAGCTATGTGTTGCACCAGCTCTGGGCTGTGAGTTAAGTTAAACCAGTTCTGGGCTGTGAGTTAAACCAGCTCTGGGCAGAGTTGAACAGCTCCTTGGTGCAGCCTGAGGTTGTGCCTCCTGCCTTCCCATCACAGCCCCATCCCGTGGCAGCAGCCATTGCACTGAGCGTGGGGAGGTGCCCCCCCAGCCCCCAGCCTGGCTGTTCAGTGTATTTTGGGGTTGCAATGAGGGTGTCTCCTGCTCACAGGTGGCCCGCCAGTCACTGACCACCTACGTGGTCATCATGAACCGCACGCACATCGAGATCGACGTGCACCGGCTCAACGATGGGGGCCTGCTGCTCTCCTACGATGGCTGCAGCTACACCACCTACATGAAAGAGGAGATCGACAGGTGCCCTCTGCCAGGGCCCCCATCCCCCTTCCGCAATGGCCACCAGCTGGCTGGTTACACCTTTCCCTCTCCCGTAGGTACCGGATCACCATCGGCAACAAAACGTGCACCTTCGAGAAGGAGAAGGACCCAACAGTGTTGCGCTCGCCCTGCGCGGGGAAGCTGCTGCAGTACATGGTGGAGGATGGTGGCCACGTGGACGAGGGGAAGGTTTATGCAGAGATCGAGGTGAGCTTTGCAGAAGAGCTGAAGGAGCAACATTTTTGGTGCTGCTGGCTCAGTGACCGTGTCCCTTCCTCGCCAGGTGATGAAGATCATCATGACGCTGGCGGTGGAGGAGGCGGGCCAGCTGCACTACGTCAAGCGGCCGGGAGCGCTGCTGGAGGCCGGCTGTGTCATTGCCCGCCTCGAACTCGATGATCCCTCCAAAGTGAAGCCTGTGAGTCTCCTAGGGGCTGCCATCCCCTCCTGCCAGCTCCCAGTTGGCATCCTAGGAATGCTCCCTAGGGCACAAAATGGAGGAGCTGCCCTGATGTGGCGGCACAGTGAAGGTCATGCCATGTCCTTGGGCTGTCTGGGTTCAAGTACTGCTCCACATGGATTGCTCTGCTTCCTCGGTGTGCAGGAGCTCACATGCACTAAAAAAGTGCATTTATAGCACAGTTTTTCCATGTTATTTTCATGATGAGACACTGGCAGATCCACTATGCTCAATGTCAGGTGCTTCCTCTGTATCTGACCCAAAGCAGGGGTTGTGCTGGTTCCTCTGGGGCACCTTCAGCTCTCAGGAGCTTTGTCCCTGTCAACAACAGTTCAGCCCTCCTCCCTCTGCCCTCTCCAGGCACAGCCATTCACAGGGCAGCTCCCAGCCCAGCAGACCCTCCCCATCACTGGTGAGAAGCAGCACCAGGTTCTACGCAACGTTCTGGACAACCTGACCAATGTCATGAACGGCTACTGCCTGCCAGAGCCCTACTTCAAGACCAAGGTGGGTGCCAGGCACCAGGTGTTCCACCCAGTTGCCATGAGGGAAAATCCAGCAGCAACACCTTCTGCTCCTGCAGGTGAAGGAATGGGTGGCACAGCTGATGAAGACCCTGCGGGACCCTGCCCTTCCCCTGCTGGAGCTGCAGGAGATCATGACGAGCATTTCGGGACGAATCCCGCTGGCTGTGGAGAAGTCCATCCGGAAGGTGATGGCGCAGTACGCCAGCAACATCACCTCCGTGCTCTGCCGCTTCCCCAGCCAACAGGTGAGTGGCAGAGGGGGCTCACATCCTCTTCACTGGAGCCAGCTCGGAGCTCCTGCCTCAATTTGTGCTGCCAAGATTTTATAACAAATGAAATGAGTGAGGGAAATATGTGGAGGTTTATATTTTCTCTGTGTGCTTGGTTTTATACATGTATTTGCTTCTATGTGTGCCTGTCTTTTTGATATTCACTTGTCACTTTGCATTTTTCACTTTGGGAAAAAAAAAAAACAAACAAGGGAAAAGCTCTGGGTGGAGTAAGCAAAGGGGGAGCTGGCAGCCTGGTGCCCCTGAGCCACCCTGAACCCTGTCCCCTCTCCCCACAGATTGCCAATGTGCTGGACACCCACGCAGCCACGCTGCAGAGGAAGGCTGAGCGGGAGGTCTTCTTCATGAACACACAGAGCCTGGTGCAGCTGGTACAGAGGTGAGTCCTGTGCTGTCTGTCACCCCCCTGTTCCTCCACAGCCACCTCCTCACAGCATGATGGCCTCTTTGCTCCCCAGGTACCGCAGCGGCATCCGGGGCTACATGAAGGCAGTGGTGCTGGACCTGCTCAGGCGCTACCTGCAAGTGGAGACACAGTTCCAGCATGGTGAGGGCTTGGGGCTCTCTGGGGGAGCTGCAGGGCTCTCTGGAGGAGCTGCAGGGCTCACCAGACCCTGCCCCACAGCTCACTACGACAAGTGTGTCATCAGCCTGCGGGAGCAATGCAAACCCAACATGACCCCCGTGCTGGAGAGCATCTTCTCCCATGCCCAGGTGGCCAAGAAGAACCAGCTGGTGATCATGTTAATTGTGAGTACAGCCTGTGCCTGAGACTCCAGGAGCAAAGGCTGGTGGCAGGGAAGAGTCAAGGCAGCTCCACATCACTTGAAGTGTCCATTCCTGCCTCATTATTGCTTTATTTTAATTATCTCCCCTCTGTGGTGTTGTGTGACTATGCTTGGGTCAAAGAGAGCCCATTTTAGTGCCTTGGGTCTTGTCCCCTTTGGCTGCATAGGGCTGGGGTGCAGGATGAAGCCATCCCACAGAGTGAGGAGCCTGAGCTGAGCCATGGTGGTTGTGACATTGCAGGACCAGCTGTGTAGCCGTGACCCCACGCTGACAGATGAGCTGACGACCATCCTCCATGAGCTGACACAGCTCAGCAAGACCGAGCACTCCAAAGTGGCACTGAGAGCCCGGCAGGTCAGCCAGCACCATGCAGTGCCATCCCATTCCTGTCCCCATCCCTGTCCCCCATGCTCCCATCTCCTCTCTCCCCTGGCAGGTGCTAATTGCCTCTCACATGCCCTCCTATGAGCTGCGGCACAACCAGGTTGAGTCCATCTTCATCTCTGCTATTGACATGTATGGACATGAGTACTGCCCTGAGAACCTGAAGGTTGGGAATTGCACATTTTTCCAAAGGGAGTTTGGGTGGCTTTGGAGAGGGGGGTCTGCAAGGGATTTAGTCTTAAAACAGCTAAAAATCACTCAAAGCTCTGCTGTAGTGGCTGTGTGGAATAGGGGAGGGGGTGCGCTCCAGTGCTGCCAGTTCCTGTCTATTGCTCCATGTTCCATTTAGCAGAGAACAGATGTGTGGACTCATGTCTGGCTCTAGTGGTTTCCCCATGGTGGGCTTAGTGTTCCATGGCACCCTGGTGACCAGTCCTGCACAGCTCCACATTGAGGTACCCCCTAAATGGAGCAGGGAGGTCTCACTTCATCCTTGCCCTAAATTTTGCTTTCTTCCCACAGAAACTGATCCTGTCAGAAACCTCCATTTTTGATGTGCTTCCTGTGTTCTTCTACCACACCAACAAGGTGGTGCGCATGGCAGCGCTGGAGGTGAGGCCTGGGGGGCACAGAGGGGGCCTGAGGGTGGCTCAGGGGTGGCAGGGGCAAGGTGGTACCTCCTGTGTCCCCTCACAGGTGTACGTGCGGCGGGGGTACATCGCCTATGAGCTGCACAGCCTGCAGCACCAGCAGCTCTCTGATGGCACCTGCCTCGTGGAGTTCCAGTTCATGCTGCCCTCCTCCCACCCCAACAGGTACAGGGGTCCCTCCCACACACCTGTCCCACTCCCCTGGACATGGTTCTTTTCACAAAGCTATGGGGTTTGTATCATCCTCTCTGTGCAAAGCAGGAGCTGCCATCATGCTGTCCTGTTGCCAGTGGAGCAGGATGAGCCCTCTGCAGGTCAAGGTCCCCTGTGGGAGCTGTGTGGTCCTACATGGTGCCTCCCACAGGGCTGACACTTGCTCCCCATGGCAGGGTGTCCGTCCCTATCAGCATCTCCAACCCTGACCTGGCCCGGCACAGCACTGAGCTCTTCATGGACAGCGGCTTCTCCCCCACGAGCCAGAGGATGGGAGTCATGGTGGCCTTCCGCAGATTTGAGGACTTCACAAGGTGGGGGTGCAGGGACATGCCTGGCCAGTGTTTGTGCATTTTGGTGCCACTGCAGTCATTGGAGAGCAAAATGGGGTGGAAGAGCCACAGCTGGGGGCAGCTGGGCAGTGCTAGAGGCAGCTCCAGTTCCCACCATAGCTGCAGACTGGGTATTCTCAGTATGACACTTACTTTGTGGGGACATGAAGAAGCTCACATGGCGCAGGTTAAACCCCTCTGAACATTAACGCAGCAGAGCTCAGAGCTGCATTTCATCAGCTGTGGGTTTGCCATGGGATGGTGGGGCCATTGTGCTGGTACCTGTGTCCCTGTCAGACTGTCACAGTGGGTTCCTGGCACTGTCCCTTCAGGCAGGGGGTGGGCACAATGTGCTGGCTTGTGACCCCATCCCTGCTGTTTGGGCAGGAACTTCGATGAAGTGATCTCGTGCTTTGCCAACTCCTCGTCGGACAGCGGGCTCCTCAGTGATGCACAGGCCACCACCTACGATGAGGAGGACACCAAGGTGGGCATGAACCTGCTGATACCCCCAGGTGGTGCTGGGACAGCACTGATGCTGCTGGCCAGGGTTGACTGTGGGGTTTTGTTGCTAGAACATCCGTGAGGAGCCAATCCACATCCTCAACATCGCGCTCTGCTCAGCTGACCACATGGAAGATGAGAAGCTGGTGCCCATCTTCAGAGCCTTTGCCCAGTCCAAGGTCTGTCACTGGGGCTGGACCCCCTTTTTGTAAACCCTGCAAGCACTGTAAACCCAAGAGCACTGTACCCCAAGACACTGCCTCCTCTCCATGCAGTGCCCCCCAAAATGCTGCAGTTCAGGTTTCCTTTGCTGCCTTGGTGAAGATGTTTAAGCTCTCTTAACTGGTGGCATCTTCTGTTTCTGTGTAGAAAAATATCCTCGTTGAACGTGGTCTCCGGAGAATCACATTCCTCATTGCCCAGCAGGTGAGTGCAACTGAGATTCTGACATCTATAAATAGCTTACAGACACAGCACTGAGTGATGGATGGACCCACTGTGCTTTAGGAGCTGGCAATTAATTAATGAGCAATTCAATGAGTGATTCATCTCCTGTGTCATCCTTTATCCTGCTCATGTTTCCAGTAACGTGGTTCCTGCAGAGCCACTCCATAGCTTTAAGCTGCCTTTAGAAGCCATCACAGAGTAAAGGCCAGAGTGGTTTGCATGGGAAGGGATCTTAAAGTTCATCCTCCCTGTTCCACTCCCTGCTATGGGGTGGAACTCTCCACTGTCCCAGGTTTCTCCAAGCCCTTTCCAACGTGGTCTTGGACATTTCCAGGGATGAGGTAGCTGCAGCTTCTCTGAGCAGCCTGTGCCAAGGGCTCACCTCCCTCACAGGGAACAATTTCTTCCTAAAATCCAATCTAATCAATTCCTCCCAGCCCTTTTCTCTTTGGGGGAGAACAAAGTCTACAAGTTTTTTTTCTTTTTAATGGAGAATCAGAACAATCCTCTGTGGACCAAGTCTATTCATGTTGTCTTCTCTCTCCCTTTTGCTGCAGAGAGAATTCCCAAAGTTCTTCACCTTCAGAGCCAGGGACGAGGTAAGATCCCGTGGGAGCAGTGCTGGTGCGGTGCCTTCCATCCGGAGGCTCACGGCTGTGCCTGGCAGTTCGCAGAGGATCGGATCTACCGGCACCTGGAGCCGGCGCTCGCCTTCCAGCTGGAGCTGAGCCGCATGCGCAACTTCGACCTGATGGCCATCCCCTGTGCCAACCACAAGATGCACCTGTACCTGGGGGCTGCCAAGGTTCAGGCGGGCACCGAGGCCACCGACTACCGCTTCTTCATCCGCGCCATCGTGCGCCACTCCGACCTCATCACCAAGGCACGGTGGCGCCGGGGCGCCCTGGGGCACAGTGAGGGTGCAGGGGTGGCCTGGCCCCTGCTGAGCCACTTGCTCCATCACAGGAGGCTTCCTTCGAGTACCTGCAGAACGAGGGCGAGCGGCTGCTCCTGGAGGCCATGGATGAGCTGGAGGTGGCCTTCAACAACACCATCGTGCGCACTGACTGCAACCACATCTTCCTCAACTTTGTGCCCACTGTCATCATGGACCCGTCCAAGGTGTGTTGCTTGGAGTCCTGCTTCCTCTGTCCTGGAAAAGTTCCTCTGTCATCTCCTATGCTCATGACCACTGCACAGATGGGCAGCCACCCCTCACTGTCCCTCCCTGTCCCCAGTGCAGAGGGTGGATATCAGCACCAGGCCCAGCCAGGAGGCATGGAGAGACAGAAGGGGCTCACCCAATGCAAATCCAAAATGGCTGTTTGGGGTGGACATGCAATAGGGCTGCTCCAGCCTTGGCATCCTGTGCTCAGTGTTGTCCCTGGGGTCACCAGCTCTCCTGTGTGCCATCCCCTGTGCAGATCGAGGAGTCGGTGCGCTCCATGGTGATGCGCTACGGCAGCCGCCTCTGGAAGCTGCGGGTGCTGCAGGCTGAGGTGAAGATCAACATCCGCCTGACACCCACTACCACCACCGCCATCCCCATCCGCCTCTTCCTCACCAATGAGTCTGGATATTACCTGGACATCAGCCTCTACAAGGAAGTGAGGGACCCCAGCACTGGCAGCGTGAGTAACCTCAGTGGTGACTGCAGGAACCCAGCCATGGCTGCCTGAGTGCTGCCAGCTCCAGAAGACCTTTGTGGGGGCTTCTGCAAAACTCCTTGTGAACCTGCAGTGCTGGTCTGCTCAGAGCCCCCAGACTTCCAACAGCATTCCACAGCTGGGTTGCTTTCATCCTATCTGTCTGTATCCAGTTGGGTTCCTTGGGGTGGTGCTTTATTCAAAATGTGCTCAGCTGCATCCCAGCTGGGTTCCTTGGGTTGATGCTGGTGTGGAACTGGGCAATTTTGAACGCTGGAGGTGAAGGTCAGTGTTAGGGTGTCACTAGTACTGGCAGCACATCAGTATGACAGTCCCCTCAATAGTAAAAAAATTGGTGGAAAATCACCTTGACCAAGCAGGGCTCAGCAGAGCTCTGGAAAAAGTCACCATGACATCCAGGGAAGGCAACCAATGCTCTGCTCTCCTTTCTAGATCATGTTCCAGTCGTATGGGGACAAGCAGGGGCCGCAGCATGGGATGCTCATCAACACCCCCTATGTCACCAAGGACCTGCTTCAGGCCAAGCGGTTCCAGGCACAGTCCTTGGGCACCACCTACGTATATGACTTCCCAGAGATGATCAGGCAGGTGAGTCTGGCTGAGCAGAAAGAGGCTCCAAATTACTACATTTGGTCTTCGCCCCCACCCTCCCCAAATATTCCCACCTAAGGAAAAGGTCCCTCTCCTTGGGTTGTCAAATGAGAAAACAAAAAGAGCCCAAGCTCCCACATTTTTGGTTATATGAGACATTTCTAAATCAATTCCTAGCTCTTGGAATTCCTGAAATTAGATGGTCTTTAAGGTCTCTTCCAAGCCAAACCCTTCCAACCAACGTGCTGTGTCTCCACAGGCTCTCTTCAAGCTGTGGGGCTCCTCGGACCTGTATCCCAAGGACATCTTGACCTACACTGAGCTGGTCCTGGACTCTCAGGGGCACCTTGTGCAGATGAACAGGGTCCCTGGAGGGAATGAGGTAGCAGGGAATGATTCAGAATTGGGCAGAGGAAGCAGGTGGGAATGGCTGGTGGCTTAGTCTGGCTGTGTTTAAAGCTTGGAAGATGCTCCTCAACCATTTTGTCTGTTGCTAAATGCCACCGGCAGCTCAGCCCCGGTGTCTCTTGGATGTGGCACTCAGTGCTTTGTTCTAGTTGACAAGGTGGTGATCGGTCAAGCATTGGACTCAATGATCTTGGAGGTCTTTTCCAAACTGGTTAATTCTGTGATTCTGTAAATGATTCTGTGACTCTGTGATTCTCTGAAGATTCTTCCCTGTAACCTTGTGCTGTTTCGAGGCAGGTGGGGATGGTTGCTTTCAAAATGAAGCTGAAGACCCCCGAGTACCCCAAAGGCCGGGACATTGTGCTCATCTGCAACGACATCACACACAAGATTGGCTCCTTTGGGCCTGAGGAGGACCTGGTGTTCCTGAGGGCCTCGGAGCTGGCACGGGCTGAGGGCATCCCCCGCATCTACATCGCTGCCAACAGCGGTGCCCGCATCGGCTTCGCTGACGAGATCAAGCACATGTTCCAGGTGGCCTGGTTGGACCCAGCTGAGCCCTACAAGGTGTGTGGGCACCTCCCCTCCTGCAGCATAGGAAACAGCAGAGGGTCTAGCTGGGGAAGGGATGAGCAGAGCTAAACTGGAATGTCAAGTTGTAGGATTAGAGCAGGGATTGAGGCCGTGCCTGCACCCAGCACCATGGGTTTGGTTCCTTTGGCTTCTCCCAGGTGGTGGAGGTGAAGATTCCAGTGCTGGCATGGCTGTTCTGTCCAGCTCTGGTCCCTGAGCTGCTGCACAGCATGGTTTGGGAAAGGGCCATGTCCCACATGAGCATATGTGTGGGGCGCTCCACAACTCATCCTTCTCCTCTTTCCTTGCAGGGGTTCAGGTACCTGTACCTGACTCCCCAGGACTACACGAGGATCAGCGCCATGAACTCGGTGCGCTGTGAGCATGTGGAGGAAGGTGGAGAGTCCAGGTGAGTCCCATATCCCATGAGACACATGGAGACACCCCAAGCTCTGCCCTACACCCCACTAGGGTGCACCTCCCACCTCAGCATCCTGCCAGGCACATCATGCAGGTGAGTGCTTCCCAAACCACGGCTGCACTTTCCCTGCAGGTATGTCCTGCTGGACATCATTGGGAAGGACAATGGATTTGGGGTGGAAAACCTGAGAGCTGCTGGTACCATTGCTGGGGAGTCCTCCCGTGCCTATGATGAAATAGTGACCATCAGCATGGTACAGTGGGGCCCTTCCCCTCTCTGCTCCTTCCCTCTCTCCTGCTGACTCTTAAAGTCACCATGGGAGGGGTAACAGGATGCAACAAGCCCTTCACAGCATCCTTCTCCAGGTCTGTGCTGCAGCCCCAGTGACCCCACGTGTCCCTTTGTGTGTGCCCAGGTGACCTGTCGTGCCATCGGGATCGGTGCCTACCTGGTGAGGCTGGGCCAGCGTGTCATCCAGGTGGAGAACTCCCACATCATCCTCACGGGTGTCACGGCTCTCAACAAGGTACCAAGCTCTGGCTGCATGTCCTCCATGGCACTGTCCTTCTCACCACTACCTGTGTGGGCTCCTTCCCTGTCCCGTGGAACATCAGCCTGGACAGAGGTGGAGATTCAGCCAAAGCCCAGAGGGAATTTGCCCGTGCAGAGGTTTGGGCTGACAAACAGAGCAAGGGAGCAGCTCCTGTGTCAGCAGAGCCCCGTGTGTTTTCCTTGGGAACTCTGTCTAGGTGCTGGGACGGGAGGTTTACACATCCAACAACCAGCTGGGAGGAGTGCAGATCATGCACAACAATGGCGTTTCCCATGTCACTGTCCCAGATGACTTTGAGGGGGTCTACACCATCCTGCAGTGGCTCTCATACATACCCAAGGTAGGAGGGTGCTGCAGGGTGGAGGTGGGGGATGTCATCCATACCTGGCTGGTGACCTGCCCTTGGGGTCTGCCTTACAGGATAACCAGAGCCCAGTACCTGTCACTGCCATAAGTGACCCCGTTGAAAGAGAAATTGATTTTGTTCCTTCCAAAGTCCCCTATGACCCCAGGTGGATGCTGGCAGGGAGACCCCATCCAAGTAAGTGAGAACAGCCTAAGGCCTGTGCAGCTCTGCTCCCAAATGCATCCTGTAGGTGCAGAAGATGCTCTTGGCTGTGGGTTGGTGCTCAGGAACCCTTCAGTGCTTGCCCGTGCACCACTCCATGTTTTCCTGTGCTCTGCAGCTCTCAAAGGGACCTGGCAGAGTGGCTTCTTCGACCAGGGCAGCTTCATGGAGATCATGAAGCCGTGGGCTCAGACCGTGGTGGTCGGCAGAGCGAGGTACTGCCAGGAGCAGGGGATGGAGCTGGGATCCTGCATGTGTGGCCTCTCACTTTCAAGCCCTGGCTGTGTCACTGCTTTTGGGATGGTGGGGAGGGAGCAGCTCTCTGGTGGAGCTGGGGTGGAGGAGAACTGGCCTTGCTGAGCCCAGCCTGCCCTGCCACAGGCTGGGAGGTCTCCCCGTGGGCGTCATTGCTGTTGAGACCCGCACTGTGGAGGTGACAATACCCGCTGACCCTGCCAACCTGGACTCAGAGGCAAAGGTGAGTGGGGTACAGCTGGGGCCAGGTGGCATCTGAGAGGAGCTGGAGGGAAGGGAGGAACAATAGTTCAGCATGATCCTTGGGCATAATTTTCCTTAATTCAGGTGAAATCAAGGGTGCCAGGGTAGTTTGTTTTCTTCCAGCTGTTTCATGCGGCATGCCAGGAAGAACTGGCACAGTCTCAGCTGCTCACTGTCTTTTCCAGATAATCCAGCAGGCTGGACAGGTCTGGTTCCCAGACTCTGCTTTTAAAACAGCCCAGGCCATTCGGGACTTCAACCGGGAACACCTCCCACTGATGATCTTTGCCAACTGGAGAGGCTTCTCCAGCGGCATGAAAGGTACCTGTGCTTGGGATGCACACACGATGGGAACGTGGTGGGACAAACTTCTGTCACCCCTGCCACCCCACAGGGTCCTGGGATGGCCCAGGCTACCAGGGTATGCACCACTCTGGGATGTGGGGTTGGGTTGGGCTGTCGAGGTCACGGGGCATCGCAGGGCAGAGATCCCAGGGGTTGGTGGCTTCCTGCTGGCTGGTTTTGCAGGGTGCTTTGTCTCTCCAGTAAGAGAAGGTGTCTTTGGGCAGCTGGGAGGAGGCTGGGGCAGTGACAATTGGGACACGCAGCCCCTGAGTCCCTTTGGCTTTCAGACATGTACGACCAGATGCTGAAGTTCGGTGCCTTTATCGTGGACAGCCTGCGGGACTTCAAGCAGCCTGTCCTGGTGTACATCCCCCCTCACGCCGAGCTGCGCGGCGGCTCCTGGGTGGTCATCGACTCCACCATCAACCCCCTGCACGTGGAGCTCTACGCTGACAAGGAGAGCAGGTCAGCATCCTGAACACCTGTGTGTGTCATCCAAAATACCTGGGTGTGTCAGCTGCCTAGGACTTATTCTCCCCTGAACACCAGTCCTTGCTTCACCAAACTTCCTTTCCAGGGGAGGCATTTTGGAGCCTGGAGGAACAGTGGAGATTAAGTTCAGAAAGAAGGATTTGGTGAAGACCATGAGAAGGATCGATACAGTTTATGCTGGGATTGTTGAACAGTTGGGTAAGGAAAGGGAGTTTGGGTTGTGGACATTGCTGGTGGTAAGTTAAACATGAAGCTCAAGCACTTTGGTGGCAACCACCAGGAGTCCTTTAGTGTCCTGGGAAGACTTTTATGTCTTTTCTGTTAGTGGAGCTGAGAGGATGTGGTGGTACTTTAGAACACCTGGTATCTCCTGGGGGCTCTGTCAATGGGTTAAATGGGGCTGGGGTCTTCTCCCATGCTTTGAGATGAAGGATGGCCATGGCCACATTGAATTGGTTCCTGATGGATTGGGAGTTCCTTTCCCCCATGTCCCTCCAGCCTGCTACAACATGGTCCCACAAAGTCCTTGCAAATGCCATCTCCCCTGTCATGCAGCAGGCACTGAGTGTGGTGTGACCTCTTTGTGGTCATGTGTGGCTCTGGTGTCAGTGTGCCAAGGAAAGAGCTGTGGCACTGGGCGTGATGGCTGATGTGGGAGCACAGAGAGGACGCCCTGGTGGCACCACCGGGGGGCTGCTCAGCCCGCTGTGTCCCGCAGGGTCCCCCGAGCTGTCGGAGGCGCAGCGCAAGCAGCTGGAGAAGCAGCAGAAGGCGCGGGAGGAGCTGCTGCTGCCCGTGTACCACCAGGTGGCCGTGCGCTTCGCAGACCTGCACGACACCCCGGGCCGCATGCAGGAGAAAGGGGTCATCACGGTGAGCCGGGCACCGGGGAGGGGCTCCGAGGTGACAGGCAAAGGCTGGGGGGGAAATCCCTTCCCTGTGACATCCCTGCCCTCCATCCCGTCGGAGCTGGGAGCGAGCAGCCGCCGGCAAACCCGGGCTGTGCTCCGGTTTCCGCAGGACATCCTGGAGTGGAAGAGCGCCCGCTCCTTCCTCTACTGGAGGCTGCGGCGGCTGCTGCTGGAGGAGATGGTGAAGGGGGAGGTGCTGAAGGCCAACAGCGAGCTCAGCCACATCCACATCCAGTCCATGCTGCGGCGCTGGTTCATGGAGACGGAAGGAGCTGAGAAGGTACCCCCAGCCCCGGCTTCCTGGAGAGGGCATCCCGAGGGATCTCACCTCGGTCTCCCACCATTCAGAGGTTTCAGTTGTGTTTCAGTGTGTGATGGCAGTGTGTGAGGATGGGCAGTGAAAAAGCCCTGGGCTGGGGCTGGCTCTTCAAGTCAGCTGACTCCAGTTGGGTACTCATGCTCAGCGATGGCAAAATGGTCCCCAAATAAACATTTTTTACCATGACAGGGCTTCCCGGGGCAAAAGTGGGGTTTTTAGCATTTGGGGTGCTCTCAAATGACACAGGTGTTGCTGTGCCTGCCTCAGGAAGCAGGACATGCAAAGGAAGCATGTTTTACCTTTTTGATTTTTAAATTGTTTGCAAATAGGTGCAGAACAGGGAAGAAAAATCCCATGGCCTGGATTTGAGGCTCCAGGAGGAAGGGGGGGCTCAGGCTCTGCAGGCAGCAGGACCCCCTTGCTCACAGTGCTGCTTTCTTCAGGGCTACCTCTGGGACAACAACCAGGTGGTGGTGGAGTGGCTGGAGAAGCACATGCAGGAGGAGGATGGCACCCAGTCAGCCATCAGGGAGAACATCAAGTACCTGAAGCGGGACTACATCCTCAAGCACATCCGGAGGTGAGTGCCTGTGGGAGCTGGGATGAGAAGGAGGTCCCTGGGATGGGAACAGCAGGTGGTGGAGACCAGGCAATTCTCACTTTAGCCTCTCAGGAAACCTCTCTCTGCCCTGTGCTTTGCAGCTTGCTCCAGGCCAACCCCGAGCTGACCATGGACTGCATCGTGCAGATGGCTCAGCACATCACTGGGCCACAGAAGGCCCAGGTCGCCCATCTCCTGTCCAGGGTGGACACTGATGACCCCTCCTGAGCTGGGCAATCACCATGGGGTAGGAGAAGCTCCAGGACACAGCCAGACCTCACCTGCCACCTGGTTCCTCAGCCCTTGAACTGAAGCCTTGGACTCTTGCTCATGTGCCTAAATAAAGGACACCAGTGCTTTTAAGTATTTTAAGCTGTGGAGATGGTCTTGCCATCCATGCAGAATTCCCTCTGGCACTGGGGGTGCTGCCAGAGGGGCAGCTTGGCAGAAGATGAACTTGTCCCAAGCCAAGCCTGGAATCTGGACCTGGTGCAGAATTTGGTTTTTAAAAGAATCCAAAATATTTTCCTGTTTTAATTGCCAGCCCTTGGTCTTTCAAACAAGCACCAGGTCAGACACATCTCATGAGACTGGAACAGAGCTGGAGGCACAGACCCCTGGTCAGGGCCAGTGTCCAGCTGGCTGGGTTCAAGCTGACCAGGCACCAAGACCAGGAAATGAGAAGCAGCCTCCAAGTGATGCTTTATAAACTGTGAGGAGCAATTTCTGTCATCCTTCCCCTTGCTGTGGGGCAAAGAGTAGATGTGGCTAGGAGCAGCTGATGGTCCAGGAAAGACCTAAGTGAGCTAATCTGGGAGCTACTCCTGTGGGAATGTCCAAGGATCCACCAGGCTTTGGCTGACCTGGCTGTGCCTCTCACCCATCTTGTGTCTTTTCTGGCTCCTGAAGAGCATGGAGAGGAGGGAGGATGGCTCCAGCTTCTCCTGCCCCAGTGACCTAATTCCTCCTTGGAAGCAGCAGAGCCAGGGGAAGCTGTCACCTGCTGGGACCTGTACCTGCTGCTCAGGTAGCCTTTGATCATCTTCATCGTGGAGGGGAAATTTGAAGTTTTCCAGTGCCTCTGGCTGTGTCATTTCCCGAGCACAGATTTACCTTGGGCTCAAAAGGAGGAGGTGGGATGGCAATGGAAGGTGGGACACCTGGCTCAAGTGCAGTGCTGGTATTGCCCCGGGGTGAAGGTGTTGGACACCTCCTGGGGCTGGGCTGGGGGATCCCACAGAGTCTGTAGGAGGTCTCCCTGTCCTGGGGTGGGGATGGGAAGGGTCTTGTGAGTCAATTCCTGGCTGGAAGGTGTCACTGCTGACAGGCAATAAAGTGAGCTCAGCTCCTAGGGAACTCCCTGACCTCTGTGTCTTCTGTCATTGTCCTGAGCAGGGCCTGGTGTGTCTGGCACTGGGCAGTCTCTTTTCTGTGGCACAGGACCTGTTTGGGGTGGGGCAGCTCTGAGCATCCCTCCTTTCATCTCCTGTTCCCACTCTGTTCCAGAGCTTTTCCAGGCATTTCAGAGGGTTTCAGGAACAGGGTGGCACCACAGAGGAAGAACTCTTAGAGTAAATACCTATAAACTTTTACAGTAAATATCTATGAACTCTTACAGTAAATACCTGTAAACTCTTACTCTCCTGGAGGATTTGAGCCAAGGATCCACCTTCAGCTTGGCCATAGGGTCTGTACGGGGAATGAAGCCTTGGAAAGCCCAGCATGACACCAGAGCAGGCACCACAGTGACACCAGAGCACACAGCACATCCAGAATGCCCCAGGTGTAGTGCTAAGAAATGTTTATTTAAAAAAAGCAAAGACATCATAGGTGACACCAGTCACAGCAAAGGATCATTTATCACATTTGTCCTTGGACAATAAATTATGACGTGGAGCATCATGGTGCCCTTTGGAAGAGGTTGCCAGGGAGGGATGCACTGGGAGGATACAGGCACAGATGTTTCCAAGCCCCTGATCTTCATATTTTCAAGGAAGAAAGTGCCCTGTGGGGCCACTCCAGCATCCTGCACCCTCCAGCTTTAATCCATGGATGGGTGTGGGAGAGAAAAGCCTGGGAGCACCTGGATACGGCACCGGGAAATTCTCTGAATGCACAGGAACAGACAAAACCCAAGATATAAATATCACTTTTTGCTCACAGAGGTATAAGTAGACTAAATGCTAAATTCCAACATATTTCAGATGTTTCATCACATTATTTGCAATGTATGTTAACAAGTACAAAGCAGGGTTTGAAATTTTTTTTTTAAAAAAAGCTACATTAGAATCAGGTTTTTTAGTTAATTAGCAAAGACTATTATGAAAGGTACAGTGACAATATTTGGTCTCTGAATTTTTTAAAAAGCATGAGTTTCACAGTATCAAAAGTGCTTATTAAAGAAATGTAGTGTAAAAACTGATAAGATGGTTGTGGTTCTGATGATGAATAATTTAGTGGCTGTAAAACAGGTTACTGCAGCATTATACAAATTGAACAGTGCTCAGTTCACATAATTTCTTTTCATAACAATAAATATAAATAAATTTACAAATAGTAATACTGCCTAGCACAAGAATGGACAGAAGCACAATACACAAGACTATAAATCTATTTTTTTTTTAAAAATCCTAAAAATAGGCATAATTCCTAAAATCCTCTAGCCAGTGATCAGTTTAATAGTTCAGTAGTACCACTTCCTTCAGGGGTTTGGACTTTTACAAATCTAGATATAACAGTGGTCTGCTAGGGAGGTGAGTTTTCCTTTTTTAGTGGTTTTGCTCCTTTTTTTCTACCTCCTAACAATAAATTAACAACAGTTACATCAGAAAAGTGTTAGTGGTGCAAATATCTCCAGGAACTGGGGAAGGTCTTTGTCCGATTTGGCAAAATAAGAAAAAATGACACACCAGGGGCACAATCAACCAACTTGGGGCTGGCCAGCCCCTTGGCTTGTGGTGGCTTCTGTGACAGTGATGACACAGCAGCTCCACCACAGCGTGGAATAAATTTAATTCCCTTAACTGGGTGATTTTTAGTTCAGTTACATTCCAGTGAAAGTTCCTGCTGCCTTCCAGGTCCTTCTGGAGAGCTCCCCAGTCCCACAACACAAGTGTCCATGCCCTTGCCATGGGGGAAAGTGGTTTTACAAGTCCCAGCTTGATTTATTTTGGCCTCACACGCTGGAAGCAGCCAACACATCCCAAAGCAGGACGAGCCCTTGGAGCTTCCCGGTCGGATTTTAACCACGGGGAAGAACCGTCCCTTGGGATCCGTGGAACGGTGCCAAGCTCAGAGCAGAGGGATGGGTTTGTTCCCTTGGGGGTTCATGTACTGAGCAGCTGCCACATTGTCCAGGGTGGTGTAGGTGGTGTAAAGGCCAGTGACCTGCAGGTCGGAGAAGGAGCGGTCGCTGCCGCTGGACACGGGCGTGAGGCCGGGCGTGCCCAGCTCGCAGTCGGAGAGATGCAGGGGGGAGTTGCTGAAGGCACCCAGGGTGTCCAGGCTGAAGCTGTCGTCCTTCATCTCCTCCCAAATGTTCCCTGGAAAAGATGGAATCCTGCTCACAGCAGCACATCCATCCCCAGGTCCCCGGGGCTGGGACTACAGGGCTTCATTTGCTGCTTGAGGGTGGCACCACAGTGCAAGGGGCAGCAAGTCTGATCCCCCAAATCATGTGATTCCAGACTTTCTGGGCAGCAAGTCTGATCCCCCAAATCATGTGATTCCAGACTTTCTGGGCAGCAAGTCTGATCCCCCAAATCCTGTGATTCCAGGTCTTTCTGGGAAGCAAGAGTGTCTATCTCCCAAATCCTCTGCTTCCAGACCTTTCCAGACAGCGCCTCTCTACCTGTGCTCTACCCAGGACCATGTCAGGCATTGCTACAAACCAGAGAAGTTCTACTTGCACAGAAGGAGAGCCCCAAAGCACGAGCAGAGCTCTGTTTTCCCAGGGGCAGGGAGATGTGGTGTCCCAGATCCAGCTGGTTGGACACCCCTGCTTCCACCCCCTGCAGTGCCTGCACTGGAGCCAGGAAGGTGCTTTGCTGTCCCACCTGGCACAGGGACATTTCTGAGGGTAACCTGGGAAGTCACCCTGCAGATGCCAACACGCAGAACATCCCACTGAGGATCCTGGTTGGATATTCAGTGTTAACACATCCACAAACCCCAGCTGAGCCCTCCCCCAGTGCCTTCCCCCGTACCTTGCAGTGCGAAATCCATAATGCTTGGATCCAGAGCATCCACCTCCGTGCTCATGTCCACCACCACATTTGGGAAGTCTGGGGCACGTCCCATGGCATGGTGGGGCAGGGGGCTGTGGCTCATGTCAGGCAGGGTGTGCAGAGGAGGAGTTTGTGCGGGTGCTGGCGAGTTGGGGGCGAGGCGAGCCTGGGTCTGGAGCTGGTGGTGCAGCGGGAGGGACTGCAGGGACAGCGTCATGATGGGCTGGGGCTGCAGCTGGGACACGGAGATGCGGCCCAGGGGGGGCCCCTCGGGCTCTGCCTGCTTGTTGGGCCGCCTGCAGCTCTCGGGTCTGTCAGTGATCAGCTTGTCCAGCTCCTCTGCCCACCCCAAGGAGGAAAAGAGATGCTTTAACCCGTTTGTTCAAGCAGGGACTGGCCAAAGCACAACTGCATTTATGGCATGAACTGATTGTCACAGTGTGTGACCCAGCACAGATTGTGACTGTGCAGGGAGCAAAGAAATGCCACTTAATTCCTTCCCCAAACCCACTTCCATGGTTATCCCTGACTGAGCTAAAGAAGTTATCATGAAACTGCAGAGCAGCCCAGCCACCCCTGATGGCAGCTCACCCCCAGCTGCAGAACTCTGTGGTCAGAGAAACACTCAGAATTCTGCTTATCTCTCAAATCACTACAAAAAATTCCTGACTGTTGTAGTGGCCCTTTTGCTTTTAAACAAATAATGTGTCTCTGACTGCATGTTACTGATTTTGTAGCAAAAAAATTCCAGTTGGTTTTGTCAATACCGAGCTCCTGAAAGTTTTGAAAACGTGTTTCTTTGTAAATAAGAAATTTTATAAATAAGGGGGGAAATTATAAATAAATAAGATATAAAGAATAAATATATTATAGATAATATTATATTATATATTATAATATATATATTATATATGTATAGATATAGATATAATATTATAGATATATGTCTATATAGATATATATAGATATAATAGTATATATATCTATATAGATATATATTCTATTATATAGATAGTAGATATAGCTACATAATATTTATAATGTTCTATCTATTTTAGTATAAATATACTATCAATTATAGTATAAATAACATTAAATATCAATTATAGTTGTACCAATTATAGTATAAATAACATTACATTCTATTTTATAAATAAGAAAATGTCTTAGGAAAGGGAGAGTTTTACAGAAGAACAGGCAAGAAACAGCATTAAAATGCTTCTCTATGAAAAGTGCATTAAATATGACTCGATATTAAAATATTCCCCCAAACAGTAACCCCAGAGGCAGCAGGGAATGCCATGGATGTGCAGGATGGGGATGTGGGCCACCAGCCCTACCTGGGTTAGCCATGCTCCTGTGAATAGCAGCCAAATCCTTCCTCTTCCACTTCTGCATCTCCTCCTCCATCTTGTCGATCTTGGCGGGGTTGAGGGCCCACAGGCAGCCCTTGCGGGAGGTCCCGCTCAGTTTGTTCTCCACCTTCTCAAAGCACTTGTTCAGGGACAGGTTGTGGCGCACGGAATTCTTCCACCCATCAGGGGCAGTCTGCCGGGGGCAGGAAGGGGTTAACGGGGGGAAAAGGGCGCTGGGATGTGGCGCTTCCAAGCTGGGGAATGCTCAGGTACCTTGAAGTAGGGGAAGTGCTCCTTCATGAAGCTGTAGATCTCGCTCACGGGCAGGCTCCCGGTCTTGCTGTTCTTCAGCGCCATGGCGATCAAACAGCTGCGGGCAGGAAACCCGGGAATGGCTTGGAATCATGGAATGGCTTGGGTGGGAAGGGACCTTAAAGCTCATCCAATTCCACCCCCTGCCACCTTCCACCAGCCCAGGTTGCTCCAAGCCACGTCCAACCTGGCCTTGGGCACTTCCACAGCTTCTCTGGGCAGCCAGTGCCAGGGCCTCGCCACCCTCACAGGGAGGAATTCCTTCCCAATATCCCATCTAACCCTGCCTCTGGCAGTGGAAATCACTCCTCTTGTCCTGTCATTCCATACCTTCTTCTGGTCTAGCAACCTCTTCAGACACAGACAGCTGGGATCCTGGGGTTTCTGTTCCCAAGGGCTCAGAAGTCTCAGAATCACAGGATAAGCTGGTTTAGAAGGGACCCACAAAGATCACTGAGTCCAG